ACTAGTCATTAGTATTTTGTAGCTTTAGGTGAGGTTAGGGTTAATACAGAACTGCCGAATTAAGAGACAAATTTCACCCCAAGGACATTTAATTTCAGACTTTTACATTTTCTTTTTCTGAATCATGGGTCTGGAAGAATTTTTTTAAAAGGGAAATAAAGCATCGAATTCCTGGGCATTATTGGAGCTGGAGTTACTCAAGCTAGGTCAAAGCTTGTTTTGGCGTAAATTTATGTATTTATTTCATAAATCATCTCAATGTCAATGAAGGTCATTCATTGCAAACATGTGGCTTGAGTAACTCCAGCTTAATATAACAAGCTCATCAGGAATTCACCTGTCAATTCCTGATGAGCTAGTTAAGCTGGAGTTACTCAAGCAGGGCTGTTCAGGTCAAATATGTGCTTTCACATCTGATCTTTATGTTCATGGCCTGAAGACATGACATAGACTTGGGTCATAGGAAAGTGGTGTTTTCAAGAACAATTGTTATAAATAGTGTATGTAAAGGTCATTGACCTCTCAAAGGTCACCAGAGGTCAAATATGAAATGTCTCCACATCTGATAATGTTCTTCATGGCATGAACAACCAATGTGCGAAGTTTCATGCTTTAGTCACAAAGTGCACAATCGTATCACTCAACAGCCCAACTCGACTATTTACATGTAGCAAAAATGATGATAAGACTAAGAGTAAGACATGAATCTGGGACTGAAATATTTTCAATTTTGTTAGGAAATACTTTAAAACAAATTCTTGACTCTCCATGCACACAGACTTTGTACAAAATCGCGGAAGTCAAGTGGCATCAGGTTGCATCTTTTTTTTCAATGAAAATTGAAGGTCACTCATTGCAAAAGTAACTTCAGCTTAAAGGGAATGTACATCATTGGCTTTTGCTACAATTTTCAAAAATGAACTATTTGAGGCGTTTGTATAATAGATCAAATATTATTACACTGACATTTTTGAAGTTTTGTGTTCAAAAATGCTGGAAAAGCCAAGAAAAAAGAAAATGTTCTAGTAGTCTGGTTCCCTGACTCCACTAAAGATGAAATGGATCAATTTATAGATGCCAGAAAATTGTAAGGTAAGGGAACCAGTCTAGCTGGCTTTCCCCCGTTCATGAACATGTAACCAATAGCAAACACAATTTTGACTGAAAAAAATGGTAAATTTGGAGCAGTAGTTGAAAAATAGTTAGGTTTCTGTTGGAAATTTATACAAAAATACCATTTTCTTGAAAATGACTTCACACCAGGTGCCATAATTTTACAGGATGCTTTAGACTGTTATTAACCAACATCCTAGTAAGGTATTTCGTAAAAACTTGGTACTACTTTTATTTGTTGATGTTTGCAAATGTTGTACATGTTGTATATTCCCTTTAACAAGCTCATCATAGCTTGTTATAAGATGGAGTTACTCAAGCTAGCAAAAATGATGATAAGAGTAAGACATGAATCTGGGGGGGGGACTGAAATATTTTCAATTTTGTTAGGAAATACTTTAAAAAAAAAAATCTTGATTCTCCATGCACACAGGTGCAGGCTTTGTATTGTTGATGTACCCTAACGTGGCGCGGCCCCTAACGTGGCGCACTTTGATTTTTCGCCTGTAGCGCCTAGCTACAGCAAAAGTTTTAATTGAAATTTCACAGAAAGTGAAATTTCATCAAGTTCTAAACACTCCCTTTTATAAATCGTGAGTTTATTTACCCGCTACAAAGTTAAAAGAAAAAATTCTTTTGGCGTGATTTTCCGATTTTATTTTCAAGTGCAAAGTGAACCCTTTGAAAATGCCCCGAAAAATAAGAAAATAATTTTCTGACAAACATCTGGCTGGGTATGTAAGTAGAGATAATAATGATTTATCAAAATTTATCAAGTTTACAGAAATTCTTAAATGTTAATTTGGAATTTTCCGAGATTTATTTAAGTGCGCCACGTTATTTTTTTAGGGAACACTCCGCCAATTTGTGCCCAATTTCCGGACGCCACCGTTTTTCAATTTCGGCTTAAATTTTATGACACCGAAATTGTTCACAGAGGTTAAATAGCAAGCATTAATAAGGTAAAAGTACCAGTTTTTCACTGCATGAATTTGAGGTTTGTCAATGTTGTGCCCATTCTTGAAAATCACGCATTCTCGAGAATGGGCCTGCACATTCTTGAGAATGTGCAACTGGATCCTTGCTCAATCTTTGCAAAAAATAACTCTTCCAGATTGAGCGCACATTCTTGAGAATGCGCGACAAGATAACGGTCTTGTCGATGCCGAGCACCGGCTGCGCTTGGCAAGTCTAGCTGAATCCTCGTTCACTGATTCTCAATAATTATACTGTTGCAACGCAAGGCGCTGAAAAGTAGAGTGGATATGATAAGTAAAGGCGTATTGATATGGGGGGGGGGGGGACCGGAAAAAATAAGAGACATAATAATACTAGTGCAAAGAATTCTGATTTTTGGGATAATAAAAGCGGGGGGGGGGGGGGGGGGGGGGGGGACATAAGAATGAAGAATGTGAAGAATGAGAATGAATACTGCGACATCCCATAGTGCTAATGCTATTTCCCATTTAAATTGCCACCAATTTATTGTTCACACCCCACCATAACGTCGCAGTGCTGGATTCTATCTAGTCAAAAGAGCAATTTTGGCAGCTTCTGGACATCGTTTTTTTTTCGTGGCACGCATATGATACATGCCGGGACTTGTAACTTGTCTAGCCTAAACAAAGCACTTCCCAGACTAGTTCCCAGTCCTCCATTATTACAAAACTTCCCACAGTGGGCAGAAAAAAGCAATAATAACAGGTTTAATTTGATTCAAATTATCGTAGTTATACGAGTACAGAAGCATAGAACATTTTCTTTCCTCTTTATATGAATTGTTTCCCTTTTAACCGCTATACAATTCATTTAACATAATTATGTCGTGCAATGTTTGTTAAGATTGGGCAAAATTCATAAATTGTGCACGTGATATTCCCACCCAATCTTAAGAATGTGCGCTCATTCTTAAGAACGCGTGCTCGTTCTTAAGAATGGGCGCTCATTCTTAAGAATGCGCGCCCATTCTCGAGAATGCGTGATTTTCAAGAATGGGCACAACATCAACAAAGAGGTTTGGCAACACTACACGAGGAAAGTTGGGTAAGCTTCGAAGTGCGCCACGTTAGGGAACACGACTAGGCCTATATTGTTGATGTACCCTAACGTGGCGCGGCCCCTAACGTGGCGCACTTTGATTTTTCGCCTGTAGCGCCTAGCTAGAGCAAAAGTTTTAACTGAAATTTCACAGATTGTGAAATTTCATCAAGTTCTTAACACTCCCGTTCATAAATCGCGAGTTTATTTACCCGTTACACTTACAAGTTAAAAGAAAAAAATATTTTGGCGTGATTTTCCGATTTTATTTTCAAGTGCAAAGTGAACCCTTTGAAAATGCCCCGAAAATAAGAAAATAATTTTCTGACAAACATCTGGCTGGGTTTGTAAGTAAAGATAATAATGATTTATCAGAATTTATCAAGTTTACAGAAATTCTTAAATGTTAATTTGGAATTTTCTGAGATTTATTCAAGTGCGCCACGTTAGGGAACACTCCGCCAATTTGTGCCCAATTTCCGGACGCGACTGTTTTTGCATTTCGGATTAAATTTTATGAAACCGAAATTGTTCACAGAGGTTAAATAGCAAACATTAATAAGGTAAAAGTACCAGCATTTCACTGCATGAATTTGAGGTTTATCAACAAAGAGGTTTGGCAACACTACACGAGGAAAGTTGGGTAAGCTTCGAAGTGCGCCACGTTAGGGAACACGACTATACGAACATGTAGTCCGAGTAACTTGGACCCAACTTATCGCCTTTTTTAACATTTGGACATGGTCTGGCGATCGCCAGACCATGTCCAAATGTTAAAAAAGGCGATAAGTTCGCCTTTTTTAACATTTGGACATGGTCTGGCGATCGCCAGACCATGTCCAAATGTTAAAAAAGGCGATAAGTTGGGTCCAAGTTACTCGGACTAACGAACATGGAGGAAGGAATTAGGAAAGTACAAACATGACAAAATCGCGGAAGTGGCGTCAGGTTGCACAGGTTGCAACTTTTTTCCAAAATGAGTGATGACCATGCAGTAATATCGGGAAAAGTTCCATACTCGGATGCCAATTTATCTGCTGCCAAACATATTAATTGTCACCTCACCTTGTCATTTGAACCAAGAGAAATCCAGGAAGCTGTGTTAAGGTGAAAAAAAATTACTCAAAATGTGTTTTTAGAGCACATTTTGGATGCATACGTCGTGCAGAACTAACTTGAAGCAGCCGGTCAAAACTGATTGTAGTGGCTGAAAGACAGCGGTACGTTATACACGTGACATCAACAACCATGACGTCGCATGAGCCTGCCAATGATAGTGCAATACGTCATTATGAATATTTATTTTCTCATGAATATTTAGTTTATTTCAATGGATACTTCAAATACGTCCAAAGATTGATTATTGCAACAGCGATCGTGCGCGGCCTAGCGGTTAAGAGTCTCGTGTGTCAAGCAAGCGTCAGTGGTTCGAATCCCGATGAAGTAACTGACTGATTAATAAATAGAAATTAAGGAAAGGAGAGGGTGAGAGTAGAGGAGGGAAAGTGGAGGAATAACCATAAAAGATGTAACTTTTGGCGCTAGAAAATTAATTGAAAAAAGTGACGTCCGAGTATGGAATTTTTTCCCTTGCAAACAACCTGTCCAAGCCGACTGCAACTTTCCGGTCCGTCAAATTTCGATGCTCTGAAGAAGGGCCACGACAGCGCCCTCTATCGTATTTTCATCGCCATGGTGACCGTTTTAGTTGATTTTCGGCTAACTTGGACAGATTTTTTGTTAAATAACGAGTTTGACAGACAATTTGACAGAAAGGATTTTTTGGCAGATTTCTTGCAGAATTTTGCAAAAATGGTAATGTGACAGAGAAACATAGCAAATTCGAAAGAAAATGGCACATTTGTTTAAAAAAAACAGCGCTACCTCAATCTTTGCCCTGCTGGCCTAGCACATGCCTTCCGGCTGGTCGACGTCCGGTGTCGTGCCAAAAACCGTCCGGTGCCAAATAGTGTCCGCTAATTAGCATAATGCGATCTGATTGGTCATGCGTCTATGACGTCACATTGTTTACGGACGCTTGCCAAATAGTGTCCGCGCTTAGCGTGCATCCTATTGCATGCCTTGTCGAGCTGTCAATACATCGTATAGAAAAAGATCTCTTTTCACCTGAATTTGCTTTTTACAATCTGTTTTAACGTTTTCCTTGTTATCTGTGATAACTATTTGACTTGGTTTCCCTAATAGTTTAAACATTATATTTGTGCAAAATGTTTGTGTCTTTGTTTCGCGTCAGTTCACCTGTTTGGCATGCAGTACGTACGTAGGCCTAACGCCGTGTGAAGTGTGTGTAGTACGTACTGTGCTGTGTGTAGCATTATAACCAACGTTATATTTTACGGTTTCTCCAGAGTCCCACTAATACTGTCCGATTTTTCCTGCCAAATGTTGTCCGATTTTTCCTGCCAAACTGTCCGATTCCTCCTGCCAAATATTGTCCGATTCCCCCTGCCAAATACTGTCAAATTTTTCCTGACAAATACTGTCCGATTTTTCCTGCTAAACAGTGTCCGATTCCCCCTGCCAAATAGTGTCCGATTTCCCTGCGAAAAAAATGTCCGATTTTTCCTGCTAAATACTGTCCGATTCCCCCTGCCAAACTTGTCCGATTCCCCACCCTGCCAAATATTGTCCGATTCCCCCAAACAAAATACTGTCCGATTTTTCCTGCAAAATACTGTCCGATTTTTCCTGCAAAATACTGTCCGATTTTTTCAGCTTAATACCGTCCGGCAGGACGTACGTACGTGCGCCCTTGTTCTCGCTCGATCGACGGCGCCCGGACACTATTTGGCACCGGACACTATTTGGCATGTATTACATGCCAAATAGTGTCTGGCGCCTACTGCGCATGCTCAGCGGACACTATTTGGCACTGGACGGTTATTGTCCGATTCCCCCCTGCCAAATACTGTCAAATTTTTCCTGACAAATACTGTCCGATTTTTCCTGCTAAACAGTGTCCGATTCCCCCTGCCAAATAGTGTCCGATTTCCCTGCGAAAAAAATGTCCGATTTTTCCTGCTAAATACTGTCCGATTCCCCCTGCCAAACTTGTCTGATTCCCCCGCCACTGAATATTGTCCGATTTTTTCTGCCAACAAATACTGTCCGATTCCCCACCCTGCCAAATATTGTCCGATTCCCCCAAACAAAATACTGTCCGATTTTTCCTGCAAAATACTGTCCGATTTTTCCTGCAAAATACTGTCCGATTTTTTCAGCTTAATACCGTCCGGCAGGACGTACGTACGTGCGCCCTTGTTCTCGCTCGATCGACGGCGCCCGGACACTATTTGGCACCGGACACTATTTGGCATGTATTACATGCCAAATAGTGTCTGGCGCCTACTGCGCATGCTCAGCGGACACTATTTGGCACTGGACGGTTTTTGGCACGACACCGGGACTTTATTTTTGGGCGAGCGGCTTCTGTACTAGCTAGCCTCCAGCGCGCGATCGCGGATCAGTGCTAGCCATTCATTTCAAGTTCAACACTGTCACTGTCTGACTGTTTAAAATGGCTTCAGAAGTTGTTTTTAGCAAGTTGCCCGTTGTAACTATTTTCACAAAGTACGCAGAAGGCCTAGGTGGGGGCCTTCTTGAGACTTGGAAAAAGCGATTGGGTAACGTCCCGTATAACTTTTTACAAGTATTGGACCACCAAAAAGCAGGTAGGTATGAAGCCCGGGAAGGGACAGGGTGGAATTTTTTTTTGGAATTTCCTAATTCGTTCGCACGAATTACTAATTCGTTCGCACGAATTACTAATTCGTGGGAACGAATTAGTAATTCGTTCGCACGAATTAGTAATTCGTTCGCACGAATTAGTAATTCGTGCGAACGAATTAGTAATTCGTGCGAACGAATTACTAATTCGTGGGAACGAATTAGCAAACTCCAGTAATTCGTTCCCACGAATTACCAATTCGTTCGCACGAATAACTCCAGTAATTCGTTCGCACGAATTACTAATTCGTTCCCACGAATTAGTAATTCATGCGAACGAATTAGTAATTCGTGCGAACGAAATAGTAATTCGTGCAAACGAAATAGCAATTCGTGCGAACGAATTACTAATTCGTGCGAACGAATTAGGAATTCGTGCGAACGAATTAGCAATTCGTGCGAACGAATTAGTAATTCGTGCGAACGAATTAGGAAATTCCAAAAAAAATTCCACCCTGTCCCTTCCCGGGCTTCATAGGTAGGCTCTAAGTCTGCATGCAAGTTTAAACTTGCGCGAGGGACTCCCGAAGCACGCAAATTACACCGCGCCATTTTAATTTGCGTGCGCACGTTACAACTTGCGCAAAGGCGATCGCAATTTGAGAACCTTGCGGGCGGGATTTTCATTGATGAAGAAAAATAAATGTTTGAAACAAGTGCACTGGTGCATGGAGAAATAAATTAATAACTAATGGAAATAATGTTACATACAAAAAAAGTTTACCAGGAAAAAAATAAGTTTGGCGGCTTTGCATGCATGGGAAAAATCTATGTAGCGCGCAAGTTTAAACCTGCGTGCACAATTTGTAGCAAGGAAATTAATGCACGCGCAAGTTTAAACTTGCATGCGCGCAGGTTTAAACTTGCGCACGCAAGTTTAAACTTGTGTGGAGGACTCAAATTGCGCTTGACAGTAGTACTAAGTAGTAAATTAGTAGGCGATCGTGAAGTGTAGGGCCCCTGTTTTGTTTTGATCAAATTGGATTCAAAACTGTTTTTTTATTGCTCAAAAATCACCTTTACAATCAAAAGCAGACTTTTCTCAATTCTAGTGACACCCATTTTGCAATTTTGAACAAATTCTTGGGTAGAAATCACGATTTTTCTGCACGGTTTGTGCCACGCGATTCAGCGCACCGTGCGTGCTCATGGTACATTGTGCGCGTGATCGCCATCTTTATTTTCGGGTCGAGTGTTGTCGCCGCGCTGTCGTCGTCATTTTACCCCCAAATTTCCCTCAAAATATCAAAACCCTGCCCTCTATCTAGGACATACCTGCTTATTGAGAATGTCACCAATTAGTTTGGTATTAGGTCCAATAATTTTAAAGTGGATTTTGTTCCCTTATAGGAACCGGGACCTACACTTCACGATCGCCAATTAGTATAGGCCTGGGGACATGAGGGATCGGCTATCCGAACTTGGCGAATTCTCAACCATTGTCAACCACTTTCATGACTGTACTCCTTCCTCCATGGCCACGATGCATGACCATGCATGATAAACACACTTTTTTTCCCTCCAGTGACCTGACTTATCACTAACATAATTAATCTGTAATCAGTAAAAATTAAAAAGTCACATTTAGCAGGGAAAATATTGAAGCATTTAGGTATAATATAGGCCTAACCCATTTTTAGCCGCCTACTGAGAAAATGCTTTACTTAGCTATTACTGTTACTTGTGTTAGAATTTTTCAAACCAGTCTCGTTTTTGAACAGGCATGACAGGGATTCAAGTACAGTAGTCTTGGCCCAAGTCGAACGTCAGTGATCAAGATCGATACTTGCATTGTTTCTAGTGCACTTGCAGTTGCACTTTCTCACACTATTTTGTCTTCCATTTCGTAGCAATGGGGGTGGGGCCAATTTATGTCAATAAGGCCGTCTTTACTACCTCCGTGCATCATCAACGCAGTATCTCGACCGTTGATTGGTTCTCGGAAAGCATGGGACGTGTATGTTTACAGCCGTCGGGCGAGCCATACTAAACCCTTAAGTCTCAACTGCTGATTGGTTCCCTATAGGAAAGCACTGATGCTCGATCACGTACCCCGTGATGTGTATGTTTACAACCGTCGAGCGAGCCATCGAACTATTTCATGATCGCTGATTGGTCCGTAGAAAAGCCTACAGAGAAAAAGTTAAACTGCTGATACAGTGTACCAAATGGCCAAGACGTTAGTGCCAGTAGGACCTCTGGTCTAATTGTTGTGCCATTAATAGAGGGCGCACTATTCACCGTCCACTATCGATCACTAGCATCTTGGGCTAAGACTAGGTTTCAAGTGATGTCCAGGTATATGGAAATCTTTCCACACATTGAGCCCGAGGCCGGCAATTCATTTATTATAAAGTTCAAAGTGTCTCACAGTGACCCTCACTATAAAGCAGGAGAAATCGCTTGATGGCGACTACCCCAGGATGCTGGGCATGGCTCTGAATGTCTCCTGGAGAGACCTCATCAGGAATAGGCCTATCGACCTTTACGGAGGCCTTCTACACATCTGAGACAAGATCAAGGAGAGGAGGATGGCTCTGGCAGGCCATTGCATCTGCCACCCGGAGCTAGCAGCCCACAATACCATCCTGTGGGTGCCGACTCATGAAACTACCAGGAGGGGGCAGAGACGAGGCACGTACATCGACACGCTGCGACGGGATGTTGGTCTCAGTGACATAGGGGAGCTGAGGACCCTAATGCTGGACAGGGATGAGTGGAGTGCAGCGACCAAGTCCTGAGTTGGTGTAGGCTAGGCTGCACCATCGCATCGCATCGCGTCTACATGACATTACTCATTACCAATGTTGTCTTGTCCTCAATCTTACTAAGCATCTTCGCCGGGACGTGGATGGCAACTGAGCAGGGATCGGGAGCCAGCTACCTGCTGGCTCAAATGCTCCCCTTCTGTGTCAAAGGATTTGGCCTAACTGGCCCTTGAAATCATTGACTGTTTTCACTGACAGCATCAAGAGGCAAACTGTTCCATATGTTGATTCTCTGAAAAAAAGCTGAATTTCCGGATGTCAAGATGATATACATGTACTGGATGTAGAGCTGCTTGTAGATTTTGTAGAGTTGCTGAATGAGAAAAATCACATGCCCTTATTCGCTCCATGCTCTTCACAATTTTGAAGACCTCGATCAGATCTCCTCTGACACAACAAGTCTCAAGGCTTGTGAAACCCAGCCTGTCCAGCCTCTGATTGTACGGCAAGTGTTGGAGCTCTGGAATCACCTTTGTGAAGCGACGCTGAACTCTTTACATCTTTTTGTAAGTACGGTCTCCATGCCTGCATGCAATACTCCAAATGTGGCCGAATGAGTGACTTGTAGTTGTACAACTTCAGCATGATGTAAGCATCTTTGTATGAGAAGGTACAAATGTACGTATGTACGCTTGACAAAACCAAGGACATGATTGGCTTAAGAAGCTGTTTCTCCAACTTGCTTGCTGATTGACACTGAGAGACTGATGAATTAGTACTCCTAGGTCCTTTTCTTGTGATGTAGACTGGATTGGATAGTTGATCTGTAGATTTTGGTGCCTGACATATGAAGACAATTTACATTTCTCAGCATTAAATAACAACTGCCACTCCAAAGACCAACATGACCAATGATGCATGATATTAAGATCCTCTTGTAGGTTGTTGGCATACATTGCAGATGAAACCTTACGATGAACTTTTGTGTCATCTGCAAACTTTAACAAGTGACTCAAATTTCTCATCGATGTCCTTGATGTAGATGATGAACAGTGTTGGCCCTAGGACAGAGCCCTGTGGTACCCCACTTTTCACTCTACTCCAGTCGGAGCTACATGTACACTGTACAACCATTGATTATCACATGCTGTTGGCAGTCAGACAACCACGCTTCAATCCATCTCAGGACATAAGATGAGATACCATGAGCTTGGATCTGCTTGACAAGATGAACATGAGGGACCTTGTCAAATGCCTTACAGAGGTCAAGGTAAAGAATATCAACCGGGAATCCTTCATCTGCATACTCTGTTATTTCCTCCAAAAATATCAACAGATTGGTGAGATATGATCGACTGTTTGTGAACCCATGCTTGAGACTCATTGATCAACTTGAACTTGTTAAGATGGTCGATGATGACATCTCTTAATATAGACTCCATGAGCTTACTCAATTGTGATGTCAGGCTAACTGATATATACATGTACTTGGATTTACAACTTATATAACCCTTTGTAAAACATTGGCATTCTTCCAGTCGCATGGCACTTGAGAACTTTGAGACTCTCATTGAAGATTATGTTGAGAGGATAAATGACTTCCGTTGCTACTTCTTTAAGAATGGTTGAGCAGATGCCATTCTCTTCAGGAGCTTTCCCAGATTTCAACCAGCTACATGTATGTTTGTTGAACACCAAGACAGATGAAATATCAACTTCAGTAAGTTCCTCAACAGCACTCGATCCTGTGAAGACCCTGGTAGGATCTGGTATCTTGTTCATGTCCTCATCTGTAAAGACGGATGCAAAATACTCGTTGAGTGTATTTAGCTGCGTCAACATCTGAAGATATCACCTCACCATCATCACCAATAATGGGGCCTACTCTCTCCTTCGTCCTACTTTTGGATTTAACATACTTGTAGAATGATTTCGAGTCCGCCTTGATGTTTCTGCAAGCTGCCTTTCATATTTCCTCTTTGCCTTTCTGATTTCCTTGGTTGCTTTGTTGAGTTGCCTCTTATACTGAATGAAGTGCTCATGATCTCTGGAATCTCTGTATCTCTTCCAGCAGTGATACTTTTTTTGCACATGGCTTTCTCAGCTTTCGTACTCAACCACTATTGGTTTAATTGTGGTGACTTTCCTCACTTTTCTTGGGAATAAATTTATCCACTGGTTCACTGATCACCTCCTTGAAGACATTCAGTTTCAACCGACCTGGCTGCTAGACAAACGTCCCAATTTACGTCACTGAGAAATAATCTCATAACCTCATGCATATCACAGGCTGGCGATCGTGCATCTACCATGTCTACGGGCCCGCGGTTCCCTGTAAGGGAATGACACCCACTGTTAAATTATTTGACTTAACAAACCAGTTCGCGACATTAAGAACATGTACCTGTATATACAGATAGAGGCCAAGGTTTTGAACTTTTGAGGGAAATTTGGGGGTAATATGACAATGACAACGACAAAATGCAACATGAGAATAAAGATGATGATCACCGCGATGTATACCATGGACATGCAAGGCGTGCTGAATCGCACGGCACCAACCGTAAACCGCGAAGGAAAATCATGATTTCTACCCTAAGAAACTGTTCAAAATTACAAAAAAAAGTTTCATTAGAACTGAAAGAAGTCTGCTTAAGTTTGAAAAGGTCATTTTTTAGTGATCAAAAACCCTTGACTCAAATTTGATCGAAACTAAACACCCTGGGCCCTACACTACACGATCGCCCACAGACTGGAGGAACAAAAACATTTTTTCAGTGAGGGCACTTTATCATGCAAGGCCTGGGGTATCGGTGGAAGTGTAAGGCCGTGTCTGAATTACTCAGCAACGTTTTGAAATTACACGCGCAATGGAAGCAACTGCAGCCACTTCCCGTAGACCCATGTGCAATTTCAAGCAGAAGCCAAGTAATTCAGACACAGCATAGTTTACCCCTGGTCCCAACTTAAGTTAGGGTGGACGACTTCAGTTAGGACTGTCCAAACTTATTAAGTTGGACTGGAGCTGGCCCAACTTTATACATTAATTTGTAGGACCCTGCTACCATGGCTACTCGGTGGCACATGCACATGCGTGGTATGTAACTTTGAGGGCACGTATTTTCAAAAGGGTCCCAATTATATGGCTGCTTACTGTTTTTGTTTTGGCTTCTAAGCATGTGTACTAGGATTCTCTGCTTACAGGGTATAGTGAAAAATTTTCAACTAGTTAGCACCAAATGGTGATCGTAAGTGCGGATTTTTGTGGTTAGCAGAGCATGAAATTGGGCCCAAGACATTGTAGACCCCAAATACAGATGCCTCTAACCCTAACAGTAACACTAACCCTAACCCTAAGGATTTTGGGGAACACAGGTATTGGGGAACATCAGGTAGACCCCGGAGAGGGGCCAATACAGGCCTTGGATTTTACAATTCACTGATCCGAGGGATAGTCTGAGTAGCTTGGACCCTATACTTATCGCCTTTCTAACATTGGGACATGGTCTGGCAATAGTAGGCCAGACAATGTCCCTATGTTTTGAAAAGACAATAAGTAGGGTCCCAGTTACCAGGACTACGTAGATACTACGTGTGATTAATCATTATCGTGTACATGTTAGGCACGATCGGTGGATCTGTGCGATCGGTCGATCGTGCTGCGCGCCCGATGGCGCCGCCATCAGTTGATCACCTGTTTATTTGTTATTTCATACAGAATCGACCAATCACGTCCAACATGTATGATGTACAGGTGTAGGTGGGCATATGATTTTTTTTGTTTTTTGGTTATTTAGTTGGGATATTTTTTGTAACCGCATGAATCGTCATTTAATGGTTGGGCCTTGGTCAGAGTTTAATGCATTTTTCCCTTGGTAATTTGCAGAGGAGACCGTCGCACAGCTTCAAGAAGCAGAGATTTTATTGACCGACCCTGACCTCATCGGCAGCTTTTTCCATCAGTTGCCTAAAACAAAATGGGTACAGAGTACATGGGCAGGTAAGATCAAGCTCTTCAGGTACCAGTGAATGAAGATCAGAATGCACATTTAATGTTGTATTAATAAAACTAATAAAAAATTGGGGAAGCTTTCACACAACGTTAAAAGATCAGTGACGTTAATGTGGCAAACTGGACTACTTTTAAAGATTACATGTATTTGAAACAATCTTCAAAATGGGCAGTTTCAGCCGCAAAAAAGCTCTGCCAAAAACCAGAAGGAAAACAAAAAACGCATAAAAATTTCACGAATTTGTTATGCCTCAACTATTAAACCATCCTTCCAACTATAGTTGGAATGGGTAATATTTGAGATTGTCCCAGGTATAGTTGAAACTTTCCCAACTGTAATCACAATAGTTGGGACGGTCATGGCTGGGGCGGATCCAGAGTGGGGGGGGGAGGGGTCAAGAACCCCCTCCCCTGCTCTGACACCAAAAAAAAAAAAAAAATTACGCCAATTATAGTAATAACGAAAAAGATGACATTCTGTCTGTCCATAGCAATCACACATACAAAAAATCTGACAGGCCTGAAACACCCCCCCCCCCCCCCAATCCCGCGGAAAATTTCCCGGATCCTTCCCTGCACGATCTAGTTGGGATGTCCCAACTGTACGTATGTGTACATGTAGTTGGGTCATTGCTGTAATTGGGGCGTAACAAATCCATGGAGGGTAAGGGATCTAAAGCATTTATACTCCTTTATTTTTGATTTTTTTTTAAGTGCCTCTTCTTTGGGAGAGGGGGGTGTTTCCATTGGCAATTTTTCGCCAAGCAATTTACAGCAGTTAACTTAATACTAACTTCTTTCCTGTTCAGGTATCGACAGCATTTTAAAGGAAGTTAACCCTAAGGACATACCTCCGCCCTTCATGTTTACGAGATTAGGTGTTGGATTGAGGACTAGCATGGCTGAGTATGTGATTGGTCAGATGATTGCACATGAACGGCATTTTTATGAAATGAAGAAGTGTCAGGAACAGAAAGAATGGTAGGTCATTTTAACAACTGCGAGAGCACAATAAGCTATGGCCGTGTTGCAAGAAGTCTTGCATGAAATCGATCAAAATATGGTCCCTGCCATAACTGAAAAATGCGACGCCGATGGCAACACCATACTTTTGGTCAATGGTCAATTCACTGTCCATGGATGATACATCGTACATTTTTGAGTTTCATTCAAAGAAATACAATGTCTTTCCAATTGTTATTTTTTTCTAGCAATACAGAAGTTAAGTTCACTTTATGTGAATGGATAAAATGACAAAAAAATGACCCATGTTAGTTATAGGGTACTTATTTCAAAACTGTTGATCATTGACCCCTAAAATAATTCAGTTCTTGTAAGGTAAACTGGTTCCTGCCCCTATCAGAATCAATGAGATAGGTAGTGGGAACCAGTCTATTCTCAGAGTGGATCTGTTACGGGCAAACCTTTTTTTCAGAGGGTTGCTGTCTTTTAGTTAAAAACTAAAAAATAACTATTGGAAAAAATCTTTAGGAGAATAAAATTAAAAACCTATAAAGTCTTATAAGAGGAAGAAAAATTTTTTTTTTTTGTATAGTTCCAAATTACTTATAGAGCATATAAAAACTTACTCCTTAAATTTAATATGGAAGAAAAAGTCATCCGAAAAGACAGACAGCAAGAATTTTTATCCAAGCAAACTAAATACACATGTACATGTGAACATGCAATTGAGGTTTTTAATTTTAAAAAAAAGTAATGAATAGAAATGCAATTTGACTCTGATTCCATTTGTTTGTCTCAGGAAAAGTAGAAACTATCGTGTTTTGGGACACCTCACTCTCGGAATAATAGGTTTGGGAGACATTGGAGAAGAAAGTAAGTAAGAAGTTCCTCAAGTGACTATAGATTTTCGCCTCATCTCATCTTGTTATATTAACGGTATGTGGCCGACATCATGTACCTGTAGGCTCGTCTTGTGTTTCATCTCACTTGTGTTGTTCATACAGATGTCCCGTGAACATACGGTACATTACCAGTATAACAACGTAACTCCTCATTCACTTAAGTGCCAAATATATTTGAAAATGTCACGGGAGCAGCCAGATATTTTAAATTATGTGGGCAAAATGGTGTGATTTGTGTTGAAGTTAGATGGAATAGAAATGTACATGTACATGCAGGCCACTGCCTTTTACAAGCACAAATTGCTAATATTGTAGTGTTTTTGGAGAGTGTAGAAAAGTGCTGGCACAGTGCCAGAGTTTTAAAAAGTGGCCACAGATGCGTGATTTTTTTTATTGATTTTCATCAACATTAGCACACACAAAAATACACCTGCAAATTTGAGATGTTTGTGCAGAGCATAGTGAGATGGTTCACTGGTTGTGGACCTTGAAGATGTAGGTCTTGGTCCTGCCAGGGTTTCATGCATTATTTCAAATACACTAAGCGAAGATATGCAGTTTTCAGCATTCTGTTGGTTTGTGAGCAAACATGGATCTGCCCAGATGGCCCAGCAGGTGCCATTACATACAGAAAGTTAGCTAGTATTGCCCTGTGGGCTGGTCTAATCTCATTGCATCACATTTTGAAGTCCTCTCATCTCAAGGCTCAATCAAGTTGTCACATAGCATCTTATCTTTTTCATCACATCTGAACTCATTTCATCTTCTTGCCTTCGTCTTGTCTCATTCCATCAGATCAGGTTACCTTGACCTGTGTCTCATCTTACCTTGACTCTTATCTTGTTGCATGTCATCTCGTCTTATCTGACCTAGCTTGTTGCCTTATTGCTGCTCTATTCTTCTTTTGGCAACATGTATTTTGTCGCACTTTGTCCTGTGTTCAGCTTGTCTCATATCTTGTCATGTGATGTCAATTCATTCTGATCTGGTCTTAATTTCTTTTTAAGGCTTCTTGAGCTGAGAAGAATGCTTTGCCAGACATGTAGTAAGGGGAGGGGAAAAGCTCTTATGTGCATTTGCATGTACATGTATACAGCTAGGAAATTGAATCATTCCTCATTTATGCAGCATTTATCATGCAGCACATCATGCAAAAGATTCATGCAAGCCTCATTGTCTTTTCTCAGTTGCACGGCTCTGCAAGGCCTTCGGAATGAGAATATGGGGATTAGGCAGAAGAGACCTACGACCGGAAGAGAGATCCAAAAATGTGGATGAATACAGGTACATGGGTCAGATTACCTGGAGTTCACTGTTTGTCCTAAGAGTCTCATTGACTGTCACTTGTGTATTCTATCACATAGTGTAGTTGATGTCAAAAATTGTCTCTTTTGAAATGCACAAAGCACGAATGGAAATTCTTCATGAACTACACATTGTACAATTAAAGCTATAGTCCATCATTTGCAGGCATCCAAAAAGTAATTGGCGTAATTATTGTTGAAAAACATACTTGGTTGAAAGATAGTAAGTGGACTAAACTCCCTGTGAAATTATTCTTTCTGGCAAGCTGTCATTTTGAAGTAATCAACAAAAGAAGGCCTTTCTAACGGTCGGCGAAGTGGGCGCAAGCATTGGCACGACGCACAGGCGCGCGCTGTTGCTATAATTCGTCGGATCAGTGCGCGACATCGCGTATAGCTGCAATTCAAAACAATTCAAAACATGATTCAGCAACTTTTGATTTGAAATTTAGTTCCTAGAATGTTGTTTTTCTCGGAATATACAGCTGAAGCTGAGCTGAAACTTCATCAGGTTAGTTGTTCAGTATCCTTCATTAGATTTTGAACACTTTTGTTGCTTCAAACGATCAAAATGCACAAATTACAAGTGATGGACTATATCTTTAAAACAGCACCACGTTTGGACCATCTGGGTTGTTGAGTTAGTTGAAGGTAAGCAGAACTTTCCTATGTAATAGTTGGTGGTCCTAAGAGGGCCAATCAAATGTCCTCTTGCTGACTGAACCTCTGATCACTGGCCTTGGGTTGGACATCATGGGGGAGGGGTGGTCCAAAAATTTGTAGAGTGAGCTGCAGCAGTAAAATGGATGGATATGAAAATCCATATTGGCCATTGGCAGCAAGACTTGACTTACTTGTACATGTATTGCCTACACATGTATCGATGAAAGTACACACAAAAAAACGGCACCAGACGTATCCACATGTGGTGTAGGATTTTGCATCATTTACATGAATAGGCAAGCCTCATAAAACTGATACCAGACCAGTGTACCGGTAAGTCCCAAGTGACAGTCAGTCAGTTAGATAGGTAACTTACATGTAGTTTACATCACGTGACAGGTTGTAAATCAGTGAGTGAATGAGATTCAGTCAGTTAATCAATCATATCAGGTAGGCGCAAAGAGGATACTAGACTAGCCCTCTGGGACCAGCAAAGGTTTACTGTGAGAATACAGATTTAGTACCAACTATATTGAAAAGGCTATAGGCCTATCTACTCAGATATGTAATCAAACTCCCATGATTTGAATAATAGACCGCGTCAAAAACTTGTGTCTACATGTAGGTCTAGGTCTTTGTCAGTTGCAAATACAGGTTCAGGTTTTTTTTTAGACACCCTGTACGTAGGAACGTGATGACAATCTGGAAGCCTGTTTCAGACACAGCTATATGTTCCCCTGTGTATTGTACAGGCCATTGTCAGGCTTGGCTGAGCTTCTCGCTGATTGTGACTACATCTGCAATGTGCTGCCTCAAACACCAGCAACGGATGACCTGCTCTCAGGTGACGTCCTGTCCAGCTGCACCAAGCAACCTGTCTTCATCAACGTCGGACGGGGTAACGTCATCAGTGATGACACAGTTCTCAATGCGCTAGACAAAGGATGGATCTCTCATGCAATACTCGACGTCTTCCGAACTGAGCCGCTGCCGGCCAGCAGTCCACTATGGTCTTCCCCCAAGGTAGGTCTTTGAGAGAGTCAGGTATGGGTAACAGTGTGAATCCTGATTATCAACTTTTCAAGCAAGGAAAAAAAATTGATTAGAACTGTGGAATATTTATGCTAGAGTCGATGGATCATTTTTGGTCACACATGTACACACACTCTAAGCGCAAACTGAGGGATACTGACGTAGCACTGTGGACCATGGCAAAATGTGAATATAACAGGAGTAAACCGGTACTCATCACTGGGTAGTTGTAGCCGAGCTTCCGTTGCGATGCACCTTCGTCGGGGCAATTATGGCAAGTGATGAACCGCTGGTGGAACAAACGCATTAAATTGTATTTCATCCTGTTAGGGGGGAGCGGGTCCAGTTGGAACATCACACACTGTTCCAAAGCCCGGCGCTGGGAAAGTTTGGCTAGAACTACCCGGTGAGCACTGTTTTTCTTCTGTTATTCACATTTTGCTAACCTCCAAGAGAAAGTTGAATAAAGAACTGTCGTTAATCATAGCTTTACGTACTCGGGTCGAACGCTACTTAGTAACAATTGTTAGACTAGTATTAAGTCACATTACTCTCGTCAAACACTGATTGGATAACGAAAGTTGAATTTCTAGTCGACTCTTCGAGACCAGGCTACTGACGTAGGGGCAAATCGCAATGCCAGTGAGCCAGGACCAAGAAGATTTGTGGTAACTAGAGTGATCAGGATTTCGACTTGCCATCTGTTTTTGATTGGCCACTGTATGTTACAACTTTCAGGTGACTGTTACAGGACACACTGCAGCCAATACTCATCCCGGTGCGGTAAGTAGTACAGATATGTTCGTGTTTAACAAAGAGCAGTCAAGGAACTTGTACTTCAAAGTCCCGTATACTTGTACTTGTACGAAGTCCAGGTTGAAGGGTTGATTACATGAACACCGTTTGTTCATCTATACCTTAATTGTAATGAGCATATGTGATGCGATCAAGCTACATGAGTCGTTTGTCGACCCTGGTCAAATGTTTTTTTATTACAGATTTCAAAAGAGCACAATCTCAGCACTACTGCTGTGAAAACCGCATGCTGGTACCATCTTTAGTTCAAAAATTATGGAAGTCGGAACACCAAGAGATGTGATGAAGTGATGTGACATAAACATTGCCGACAAACGACTTATTTAGCTTGATCGCATCACATATATGGGTGGGTGTGAATTTTTTTACATTGGCTTATCTAGCTCCCAGACCTATGATCTTGAAACTCAGTGGTTCTTGACTCTGAAGGGCAGAATGGTCACACAAAGCAGGCGATGAAAACTGGTATGCAAATGAATAGATGATTTTTTTTTTGGATGACGCCAGCCTGCCCCACCCATGTCCAAAAATGCTATTGTAGTGTGGTCGGGGGCCGCAGCGAGACACGAAAACAACTCATGGAGATAAAAGATTTTACAGGCTTCAAGTAAATTACTTTATTAGAAAAATTGGACCCATCTACCTATTCTAATAATTACTTCTAAATTTAGGGGCAACTTAGGGCTATGATTTAAGTTAACCCTAACAATCCCAATCCAGTCAAACTCCAACACCAGGGTTTGTTGGAATCTGTTAGAATGAGTACTAAACTAGTAAACTGATTATGCTATGCTGGGATAAGGCATACCACCAATAATCAGAGTCCAACAGATTTTGTATACATTTTACCATGTGGGCAATTCCACGGTTACTCATCTTACATTTTTGATGTACTTTTGGTAGATAGAGTAGACCTAGACCTACCTAAGCAACAAAGATGACATCCAGAAAAATGTGTTATGTATGATAAACAAGATGCACAAAATCGGTTACTCACGATACATTTTCGTAACGTGAGTAACCGATTTTTCAACAAAGGTTGTTACGCCATCATGACATCATCAGGTATCAAGTGCCCCCCCCCCCCTGCAACACCCATGTTTGCTCTAAATGCTGCGACATCATCAAACTGGAAGTTGGGTGTTATTAATACATACACTTATAATTTCAGTATTTCCAAGTGTTATTTTATCTTAATAATAAACGGGTATCCACTCCGAACTAAATCAATATTCCCTCCCCTTTTTTTGATGTCATCAAACCAAAAATAACTTGTACCTGTACCAGTCTGGCATGTACCTAAAATATATACTGAAGTTGATCTGTTTTCTGTTCTGACAAAAATATTATATATTTTTTTTGGAGGGGGGGGGTTGGCATTTATTTTCATTAATTACTCATTCGCTTCAATCCGGTTCATAATGTGAAAATTGCTTTAAAACAAATTTGTTTTACACAGGAATTGCATTGTAGTGGTTTTTCTGTTTGCACAGATTATTGACATCATGGAAGTGAACTACGATAGGTACATCAACGGGAAACCTTTGCAATACCAGGTAGACTGGAAGCTTGGGTATTGACTGATGTTTCTTCAAGCACACTGACTACAATCACCAGAAGATCTGACCAGTTGATTCTACGAACACTGCAATTGATTCCTCTTATTACCAATGAAATTAGAGCAAGAATTTTTGCATGAACATTAAGGCTGGTATAGGTACGTCACTTTTTATCAATCAAATTTCAAGTGCCAAAAGGTTACTTTCTATGGTTCTTTCATCTATTTTCCCTCCTCGACTCTCACTCTTTATACCCTCCTCCAATCCTCTCTAATTACCAGATACTTACGTCACCCGGATTCGAACCCGCAATCCTGTTATTTAATCACACCAGCCTTATCCACTACACTAGTCGAACGATCTATGCCAATGAAGGGACTATATTTTAAGTATAAGGCTATTGAATATTTAATAAACTAAATATTATTAAAAAAAATCAAATATACATGATGACGTATTGCACCATCATTGGTAGCACCATCACAGGTAGTGCGTTGTCATCACGTCACGCACACCGCATGCATCAATAACCAATGCCACAAATCTTGGCCGCCAGGGTCTGCTGCCTGATGTGTGCATCCAAGGTGTGCTCTAAAAAACACGTTTCCGAATATGTCTTCACATTTCCAGAGCTTTCTGGATTCGTCTTATGATGTACTAGTGTGGAATTCATCCCGTTTGATGTGTGATTATTCACGATATGTCAATTACTGGTGAAAAAGCAAGCACTTTAACACTTCATGTGCTCCGTGTGTTCATTATGAAGACATAGGCCTACGTGTACAACTCACATGCTTGTTCATTGCTGATATGATTGTGGGCTTGATCAAATAATGCCAAGGTACGTGTACAGCACATCTTAAGAGTTACCGTACATGTACCAGCTAATTACACAAAATATTTTTTAATAGGCTAACTTGGTGTTACATCACAAAGAACTGCCCGAAATGTATCCAAATGATCGTGATTACTTGGGCAATTCCATGGTAACATTTCATTGGCTTCGCTAAATTGTTTCGTGGAATTGCCGACTTCATCAAGTGATTCATCCAGCTGAATTATGTATGGCAAGAATACAATAATGATGTACATGTATGTATATAAAGCCCCCCCCCAAAAAAAATAAATATATCAATCAATCAACAGAAAATAAAAGATGATGAAATAAGCTATAGTATGATGGGTGTTGCAAACACCTTTGTGAGTTGCGAGTGTATTTGTCCTTATTTTTTTCAGTGGGCGTATTTATCATTGGGGTTTGTAGTTCAACCATGAACGAGGCCGTGGCCTGTCCTCACAGTCGGGACTCCGGGTCCTATAGTTCTATGGTCTAATGTATGTTTTTAAATATAACTGACAAAGCTTTTTTGAAAAAAAAACTGTCGAAAAACCATGCACAACTTTTGGATTACGAATAACTGATTTCAACAGAAACTCTTTATTTTAAAAATCAATCAATCAATTGATTGATTGTTGGCAATCATCTACATTTCAAATTTCTTCTAAATGAGAGCAAATAATAATAATAATAAACCATTCTTATAAAGCGCATTTTACACGGGGTCCCAATGCGCTGAACAATTAACAGAGGAAAACACTAACATTATATTTCATTTGCAGTGAACAGATGGGTTTTAAGATTAGCTTTGAAAACGTCCAGGGTTGGGGCTTCCTTGATGTGATTGGGTAGTATGTTCCAGAGGGTTGGGGCTGCAGATGAAAACGCTCGCTGACCGTATGACCTTGTCGATGTTGAGAAGATTTCTACGGGGTTCATATTTATGGATTAATTGCTGGAGGTAAGTAGGGGCGAGACGATGGGGACATTTGTATGTTAGGAGAAGGGTTTTGTAGATTATCCTCCTCTTGACTGGGAGTCAGTGCAGATTACGCAGAATAGGTGATATGGGGCTTCGAGAGGGTGACTAGTCTTGCAGCTGAGTTTTGGATGCGGCTGGATATAACACGCCAGACGAAATAATTTCAAGCCAGACGAAATAATTTCACAGGGTGTTTAAGTACCCATTATACAATTTTGAATCCGCTTTTGATAATAATTCGGTAGGTTACTTTTAGTATATCAGTGCAAATGAGCATGGGCCTATGTGACATGTCTTTGAACTGGTGCGAGACTATATACGAAATTGCTTTTCGCACAAAGTGAGTGAAAATTTGGAATCTCTTTTAAGGTTTTTTGGTCTCCATCCATGGTGACCGCTCATGTAGAAAAAAAATACGGATTCGATTAAGGATTGGTATGGTAACTTTATACTCTTTCATAATAAGAAAGGAAAATGTGTTCTTTCTTCGCGTTTGTTCTTCACATCATCATCAGCATCATCATTCTCCAAATCCATCGTGGGGGAGGTTGAGCCACCCAGACCAAGCGATCAGATGCAGACTGCCATAGCTGATGCTTGTGGTCAACTTCTAGCTGTCGCACCCATGTGTTGCGGGGTCGGCCCCTGGTCTCTTCCAGGCAATGTCAGGGTTGAGTCCCCCTAGTACGTCGACGCTAAGCTTAAGGGCTGCATGGGCTGGCGTGTCATCCGATAGCTGTCGGACTACTCCTAGGCTACGCGGAGGCAAAGTTCTCGGACGCAAAGTGACAGAAGAGGGAATGACGCCTCCGTATGATGAAGCACGAATATCCACGAGACACGAATATCCTCGGCACTAATATCCTCGGCACTAGAAGAGAACATTGATGCATTTCACAGAAGGCTTTTGCGCTCAATCTTTGGCATAAAATGGCCAAAGAAAATCACCAATAAAGAACTGTACATGAGAGCCAACGAGATCCCTTGGAGTACTGCCATTACCCGAAGACGTTTTAGGTGGACAGGCCATTTCCTGAGACTACCCGAGGAAACTCCTGCCAAGCAAGCACTTCTAGAGGCAATCCACAAGAACAAGCTACCAAGAGGGGGTCAGCCACGGGGGTCAACTTTAAAGATCGACACACCTGGCACGTGGCATCGTGAGAGCAGTGGAGGACACTTACTTAATGCGCGATGTCAGATCTACTTGAGCGCCTAGATGATGAGGGCAAACGCGCAATCGCGTAGCGCGCACATTTTTGATGTCACGCGCACGCAAACAATCGAATTTTCAAATATATTTAGTACGCGAAAGATACAAATTAATTTTATCGCACATGTAGACCCTACTGAAAGTCTGACGTTGTAGATTTAACATTTCTTTGTTCTCGGATGAGAACATAAAACATAAATACTTGTTGCTGCGTGGACTAGACGGTTTAAACAAACTAATTAGTTGGTATGAAGAGCGTTGGAGAATGGAGATTAAGTTGATTTGGATCATCGTTTTAGCGGCTGTTTCGCTGGGGCAGATTTCTCAATGTGGTGAGTAGCTATCAAACTGTCAACGAAGTCAGTAAAAACTAAAATCGCGGTATCGTGGAGACACGCGAACAGCTTTATTCTATGTACATCTAGTCTCAGAGAAAGAAAGCTTTAAAACAATGCTTGTATGATTATGATAGGTTTCCTTAAAGTTTTGTTTTAATCTGCAAAATGTAATGAGTCGTTACTCTCTTAATTCTGACGATTGAAATTTCAATCTATTAGATTGAATTCTCAATCTTTCACAGATTGCCGTGAGTGTACAATCTTTCCGGATTGACCGTCAATCTTTTTTTAGATTGACAATTTTCAATCCACAAACGAGTGGAATTTCAAACTATTAGATTGAAATTTTCAATCTATCTTCAATCGAATTTGGATTGAAAATATGTCAATCTAGACTGATGATTGAACTATTCAGTCTAAAAGATTGAAATTCTCAATCGTTTAAAGATCGAAAATTTCAATCCTATTGCTGGATTGACACACACGCACTCATGAACCCACCCACATGCACAAGTTGCACAATCCTTTTCTGTCTTTACTTTAATACATTGCTGCTTTAATTCAATACATGTACATGGTAATACATTAAATTAAAGTAATACATTTAGTTTAAGGACTCCATTTAAGTTCAAGGACTCCATTAAGTGCAAGGAATGCATTTTCAAGGAATGCATTAAGTTCAAGGAATGCAATAAGTTCAGTTATATAAACAATGAAGTTGAAGGAAGGCATTAAGTTCAAGGAATGCATTAGATTCAAGGAAGCATTAAATTCGAGGAATTCATTAAATCCAAGGAATTCATTAAGTTAAAATGAATCACAATACATGAAGTTCAAGGAATGCATAAAATTCAAGGAATGCATGAAATTCAAGGAATGCATTAAATCCAAGCAATTCCTTATGCTCAATGAATGCATTAAATTCAATGAATTCACGAAGTTCAAGGAATGCATGAGGTTCCGAGGAATGCATTAGGTTCAAGTAATACATTAAGTTCAAGGAATGCATTAAATTTTAAAAAAATGCACTGAGTTCAAGGGAATTAAAAAGCACTGAGATTCCTTAATTTTTGCAGTAACAATAACGTTGTTAGAATTTTTAATTTTCCACAAGGAAATAGGATGATTCCTATAGTTTTTTATGTATATTCCAGAGACACATGTAGTTGGGGTGACACTCAAAATGAGTCTCACACTTAGTTAAAAAGATAACATGTGAGGGATTGCCTGAATTGACTCTTGATCCCAACGATAGTCTCAGGGGCAGAATTCCAGAGTCTGGTATAGTACGGTGTGAAAGGTCGCTGATGACTTGCAGTTCTGGGTACCACATGGCGTACACAGCAACGCAGCAATCTTGTGGGTTAATGGAAGCCATCGGAGGTTGGTGTTTCTCGCAAGGGTGGGACATTTTGCTGCCTGGTGTATAATGGAGAGGCCAGCAAAGTCACATCGGAGTTGCAAAGGCTCCAGGGGGATGTCAGGGAACATTCTGAGACATTTCCTCTGCAGTGCATCGAGGGACCAGAGAACATACAAGGGGAGCTCTGTTCATATACTGGTGATGCATACTCCATAATGCTCCTCACACAGGTGTGTACACTCGGGCAATTCAAGGTGGAGATAATTTTGATTCTATTGTTTACATCTACAAAACGTATACAAATCTTGGCTGGATGTTTGACTGAACACTTGTTCCAGGCTGTTCTTGGGTGACATCCCTGTAATGGTGCTCCGCCACTGAAGGTTGTCTCTGACGTTCTGTTTGGGACACCTTAAAGAGTATAAAAAAAATAAATTTAAAAATGAGTTCCAACAAGAGTACCTACAAGTACAAGTAAAAACCACTGGTGGTCATGTGCCTGTCTGTTTATGACACTGGTCTAGTTGATCGATCACGTTATGGTGCTACTAAGAATACATAATACTGACGATTTGGATCAGCCAGGATTACCTTTTTGGGAGATAATTTGTGGGAGTGAACTTCTGAGTGCAAGTAATTCGTCTATCAACCTTGCAATATTTAATACCCAAAATTTAATACCCAAAAAATAATAGTGCCAGATGGGCCACTGATGCAGCTTACTAAATCATGTACATTCAAGTTTCATTTTGTCATGGGATGCGCTGCGCATATGTAAATTGGTAATTAATGTGTGTAAATTTAAATATTAACTTTCACATGGTAAAAAATAATTGTAAACGTGTGTACATTTCTGTGTGATGTTCGGAATTTATCCACAGTAAAGACTGTACATGCTGTACATGGACGTCAGATGCATCGATGAATAACATGAAATAATTATTAGGCCTACCTTGAATTTACTGGTCTGAAAACACTGAACAGCTCTCTGAACTTGGCTGGATCTCCACATAATTAACATGTTGTCTTTACGATGATCAAAATCACCCAGGTCATGGAGGAATGGTCACCAATAAGCCTTGGGCTGAAACTAAAAACAAACACAAAATGGTTAAAAAACAGATGACTAGGGAAAAGACCGTAGTCTTTGAAATCACCAAGGTTTTACCATGTACATAGATGTAGGCCTATGCACCTTTTGCATGCATTTTACATGTATGCATGTACATGCATGCACATACTAGGCCTGCATGTACATACATGTAGGCCTGGCCTATACTGCCTAAACCACTATTACATGTTCGTTGTGAACACAAACTTTTGACTCGATCAGGGCCGAGTTGAACTTGGACCGAGTAGTCTCGGATATTATGTACGTAACCGGCATAGGGCATGACCGGGGAAACAACCAAGTCGCCCCAAATATGTTATTGAAGAACAACAGACATTCATTAAATATGATGGCTATCGTTACGGCACTCATGCACTGTAAAAACGCAATGCAAACATCATTATATTAGAATTACAACTACCAGTAGGCCTACCGGACCAACTGCTTCGCTTCGGTCCGGGAGTTCAATTGCACACGCTAGTTTTTAATGAGCAGGGGTCATGGCTCAAATCCCAGCCGCGCGGCTATTTTCATTAGTTTAGGCCTAGGCTAGCTCCATTGCCTCCAACGTTAAACGCGGTTGACATGTCATTTGTCATGGCATGGTTGACGAAACCCGCACAGAAACAAAACTTTGCACGAATATATTTCAGTTATCTTGACAGGTCAGAAAAACTTCAACGACTCAGGCGTTTGACTCTATAAAAAGCATAGTATTACTTTGAAATGAATAGAAGAAACGTACTTACATTGTCTGAAAAAGCTGATTCTTGTTCGCGAAACATTGGTACACCGACCAACAAAGATGGCGGACATGACAACGAGGCAGTTTGAGCATTGTCACAATGCGCATGCGTGATCATAATAATGCAGCTTTTTGATTGGTTCAAGTTTTCAATCGTCATAATAGATTGAAACCGCTTTCAATCTTTTTCACGATTGACTCGTAAATTCGGCGCAAGGCGTTATCTTCGATCGTTTTCAATCTAAATTCAATCTATAAGATTGGGAAAAAAATCAATCGCTTCAGCGATTGAAATTTTCAATCTTAAGAATTAAGAGAGTAGGCTACATGCAATTTTCCCGCTCAAAAGTCCTTTAGTAATTAGGGGTAGCCCGGGTTGGACGACGTCTTCATTACATAGTGCGGTAAGGGAGGCCACCTGCTGGGCTAAAGGGTAATCGTTACTTGTAGGACCCCATTCCTAGAAGGTGTCTATAGTCCAACAGGGCGTTGTGTACAGTATACCGATCAGAGGCTGCTCAGATCATCATAGGTGTGCTCCATGCATGCTCAGATGTACTGTGTCAAGAAATATCAGAATGTTACTTTTGAGTGCCACTATTCTGTTTTGGTGAGAGTCTGACCATGGTCTGACTTCAACCCAAGTTATAGGAACGGTCTATAGCCCAGGTATACCGTTATAATGCTTATGAAGACGTCCAACCTGGGCTAGAACGGGTCAACTGCAATTAGAGCCATCTGTTTGAATTTAACTTTGGCTTTCAATTTTCAGGGCCGAGGAGTATGAAAAACATTTTGCATGGACATAAGTCGGGCTTAGGCCTACCCCACAACAAAGTTGCAATCGTCTCCATAAGTGCCTTTAGGGGCGGCAACGACACTAAACAATACCCCCTGCAAACAACCCGTAGCAGTTACAAGCCTGAGACTTCCGACAAGATGTCTAGCCTCCCAAAGAAGAGGAAGCGGAAAATGAGGATGATAAGACACAAACGCTGGTTCGGTTCGAAAGAAGACGTAAATAAGGCTGTGGAGAATGCTGACGAGATCGCAGATAACCTTCTCAGACACGGGCACAAGGTCGGTGTTCTAAATACAATATTGATAATGTGCATTTTAGTGCCGTTTTTAAATAAACTGATGTATTCCCAGGTAATAGTTCCCCCTCCCAAAAGTTTGATCCTAGTTAAACGACACAGTGACAATAACAAAGACCTACTGATGCGTTTCATAGAGTAGCAATGTCCTAGATACATCCACATTTAAGGCGCTCCTCAAGTCAAAGAATCTGTATTCTTTAAACAACTTTCCATCGGGCGTTCATGATATGACGGCCTACGTCAAACTTGATTTAGGCCTACCCTCTTCCACTTCCTGTTCAATTTTGGGAGGTTCAACTTTTTTATTAAATGGCAATTGGTTGAGGACTAATAGGGCCGCCCTAAGGGTGATTATCCATACTATGAAAAATGATCTAAATCTATAAAATAGAGCGACTTTTAGGTCAAATTATATATCAACCCACATTTCTCAGAGCTTATTAAGAAACGGTTCAGGTTAAGAGAGAAATTCAGTGACGATGTTTAAATCGTGGTTTGGTCGGCGTAAGACACTTTTCGGACCTGTTAACCGGCCTCCATTGTCCAAGCTAGTTTCGACTATTTTACCTCGAGGAAACCCTCGCTTAAATGACCGTGCTTGCATTTTGCAGGCGATGAGAGAACATCATACCCGCGAGCGACTGGAGACGGCGGCCGCACGCCGGACTACGTTCGCCGTCTGCTTCGGCATCATGGGATGCTGCTTTGTCTGCACGGTGTTGACCGTCAAGAAACTCTGCTCGTATGGCTAAGCACTACAACACCGGCCGTCAAAGTTGATGTTTTACGAGACCACGGCGCCTGTAAGCTAGCGCAACGACACTTTCCCTGCAATATCTTTTTTGGCTTCGGACTTATAAATTGCACGTATACATTTTAAAACGGGTGAGAGTGTCGGGAAATATGGAACTTGGTTTGTCACTTTTCCTGCTGTTTTTTTTTGTTTGTTTGCTTGTTGGGTTTTTTTGTTTTCCGGGTGCGGGAGGAACTAGCCGCATCCCTTGCTACCCTCAACTCGCGACGCTATCGCCAGACGTACGTGCTGCATATTGTTATAACGAATCCTTTGGAATCCGCGGGATTTTTTTTCTTCAGAAAGAAAACCCACAACTAATGCAGCTAGGAGCGTGCGCTGCAATAATTAATTCATACCGATTGTACGAAGAAAAAAACCCGCATAAACTTGCGATTTCAAAATGAAGATATATTTACATAATACATTCAGGTATACCAATGAACGCAGGACAACTGTACTTGTTGGGAGAATAAACTTTGATTTTTATTTAACCAAGTTCACCTCAACAAAAGGAACATTAAAGATATTAACCTCTTTAAGACAAATTAAACTTAACAAACTACCAAAAATTACTGATGTGAAGTTTTGCCTATAAGACCGCTATGAAAATTACAACGAATATTTGTTTTCAGTTTGCATTTTCCCTGCAGCAAACAATCTACGAGCGTTGCGATGTATAACAGTAAAAACTCTGGGGAAAAAGTCATTAACCTCAGTACTGTCGTTCGTTTAATTATGTATACAGGTTTAACTGTTAGCTAAATTGTAATTAGTGGCTACGGTGCAAAATGCGTTAGTACGTACTAAGGAACCATATGTTTTTGTGTTAATAATTAACTACACTTTCAGTTTAACTTAGGCATTGTTAGATGTTGATGCATTTTGTATTTGGATTTAAAATATAGGCGTACATTACTGTAGCTAAGTTCTTTTGACCACTTTCGACTACTTGGTTTCAGATAAAAAAGAAAAACATGTTCATCGGTGCAAAATTCCATATATTACAAAGCAGAAAATATTGGCAGGCAAATTTATGCGTAAAGCAAAACCCGGCTTTAGAGCCAGTAACAAGCACTTGGGCGGTTGAAACTTTTTTCTAGCTAATATTATACAATGAATGTTAATGAGTACAATGGTAAGAATTTCATGAGGCGACAGACGGAATGTTGCAATCCACGAGACGAAGCCGAGTGGAATGGAACATTCCTTCTGCCATCGAATGAAATGAATCTTTCCACTGCACCAATGTGTAACATTAATACTAGGCCAACAAAATATAGTTCTGCTTTCGATTACATGGCATTCGAAAATAAGGTCGGTAGGAAGGGATTTTTTTGGGGGGGCCCATTTTTTTGTGGAGGCATCTGCGTGTAGTCAAGGGTAAAAGGTCGAAATTGATGGTTTTTGGTGTGTGTTTTTTTCTCACTAGAAAAATTAGGGATGGGGCTGTCAGAATAGGGTAGGTAGAGACACTGGAAGCAGAACTCTTTTTTTTTTTGCCTTATTTGTTTTATACAACACCAGAATAAATCCTCGTCATGTGATTGATCACAGCCACCAAAAAGTCAATGACATGTGATCCAACAACCCACCAATCAGAGGACGGGGGAGATAAATGGCACAAATATATTCCAAATGCATGTGGAATCAATTAGCTTTGATTGGCATAAAAAAAAGATCCTGTAATTAAAAATAAAAAGAGATTTCAAAATTTGGTTCCTGTCAAAGAAATAAACCTAAATTGTCCTCAATAGATTTTGATTGTAAATAATTTTTGGTGTTGAATATTTGATATTGTACATGGACACACATTATCCTTACATAACAGGATGGTTTTCTTTTTAAATTATACTCCATAAAATTATCACCTTGTTAACGATCGGTGTGAATCACAGCGATGAGTTTCACACCAAGGTTACTTAAGGTTGCTGAATTTACATAAAATATATCTATGTACAATTATTTATAACAGCAAACACATTGAAATGCCCATCACTAGTGCAGCTTTAAAAAAACAAATCTACAGATATTTACATAGCATTCAAATCAACTTGGTATTCGGTGTGTTAATTTCAGTTTACATGTCTGCAACAATTTCAGTGTTAAAATCCCTGCTGGACCATCTGCCAAAACATGGGCTTTTATTGAAAGGGGAAAGTCAGATATTTAACAACTGTTGACTGCTGTTATGTGGGACATGGTGTTTTTAGCACCCGAGGGGCGCATAGCACCTAAGGTGAAGCTGAGGGTGCTATGCGTCATCAAGGGAGTACAAAAACACCATGTCTCACATCACGGCAGTCAACAATTGCTTTGTTATATCTGGATTAAAAAAAAAAGTCACAAGAAATAAATTAAATCACTGCATTTAACCTTTGATAACTGTCGGAGTTGCTTTCATTGGTACAAATTAGTTCTATGCTCTGCATGTGGTGCCCATCCCGTACACATATTCGTCTCGCACATTTGCAAAGGTAGTTTATTATGCAACGTGGTGTATATGAGGTAACGCTATATGCAACGCGGTGTTTATGTGGTAATTTATATGCGAAACGATGTACAGTTAGTCTATGTAATAGACCATGGCGAAAGCTTGACCAATCAAACCATTTAGTCCTGATTTAGGAATGAAATGACGTCATGATTTAGTAAAGTCGACTCCGATTGGCTGGCGCGGCTTGCATAAATCTGCATGTCCAGACATTCCAGACGTTATACAGGACCTGGCTCCGTGGATAACGGGCGATACTCATATTAAAGAGGTTGTGGAATGCTCGAAGACATTTCTGTCATTTTGGGGGTATATGTAGCCTAAGGTGTGATGAAATAAAAACGACTATTGTTTCTGTCATGAAATGAGTACAAAAGGGTACTTTTGAGAGCTATTTTTCAGGTCCTGTTTCGACCCGAACGTGCAATTTGTGTAAAAGTCGTCGTTGCGGGCAGCAAACAAAACACAGTAAATCGTGACGTAATAAACAGGACTCATTAATGCTACTCTGCATCGGGAGTCCTGTTTATTACGTCACGATTTACTGTTTTTTGTTTGCTGCCCGCAACAACGACTTTTACACAAATTACACGTTCGGGTCGAAACAGGCATGACAGGACTTGAAAAACAGCTCTCAAAAGTACCTTTTGTACTCATTTTATGACAGAAACAATAGTCGTTTTTATTTCATCACACCTTAGGCTACATATACCCAAAAAATGACTTCGAGCATTCCACAACCTCCTTAATGTACAGGGTGCATTAAAAAAATTATTTTTTTTTACTACGGCACTGCTAAATGTACATGTATATACAGGATGTTCTAATTATATGACCAAACATCAAATAAACGGATTTTTCATACGAAGTTGGACTAGTACTAGCTTGGAAACCTGAGGTATCTACATGCATGTATGAATTCTTTTTCTAAACCATTATGTCATCAATGCTTTCTTCCAATATCATGTATTTTTAACACATCACCCACAGATTCTGTATCTTGATTGGCCGAGAGCGAGTCACACCGGTATTCGCTATTTTCGCTATCTTGCTGTGGCGGCCCAAAAGACTATACACATCTAGCAATCACAGTACTATACGCATAGCAACCGGTACTTTGTGCAAATGCATATAAGTGTGCGCATTGCGTGCACTGTTCCCAAACACTAGCGCTACAGAGCTGGGTTCACACATTTGATACAGGGTAATTTGGAAAAGTTCAAGTAAATTTTCGACTAATTTTGTAGTGAAATAGACACACATTTTAATTGTAGTTAGATTAAATTTTATCAGTTACACATATCGCTTAAAATCAAGCAGAATCTGTGGGTGAGGTGTTATAAAACAAATATTGACTGCTTTAACTTGTGGTACAGTAACACTAGCCTCCTTCAGTGATCAATGGAGCAGTCTAGTTTCCCCGGCCTCACCTCGGGAAAATGGAATGCTCCATATATCACCTCAGGAGGACAGAGTTACTATACCACGAATTAAAGAAGTCAATATTTGTACATTTTGTATAATGGACAATATTTTTTATTTTCTGACTCAAAGTGGTTATTTTTAAGTAAAACAATTATACTTTGTCAAAGCTTGACAATTGATAATTGTCAGCTTTCTTTGTCATCATATTCCTTCATAAATCTATGGATGCATATATACATTTTTGGCTTTCAATCACTTGCATTTAAAGCTATAGTCCATCATTTGCAGCCATCCGAAAAGTAACTGGCGTAATTATTGTTGAAAAACAAACTTGGTTGAAAGATAGTAAGGGAACTAAACTCCCTGTGAAATTATTCTTTCTGGGAAGCTGTCTTTCTCAAACGAAACAAGGCCTTTGCAACGGTGCGTCTTAAGACGCACCGTAGGAAAATTTAAATTAGTAGTTCGTTTTGTTATTCGGCGAAGCGCGCGCGGGCATTGGCACGACGTGTGTGCGGTTGCTATAATTCATCGGGTCAGTGCGCGACGTCGCGTATAGCTGCAATTTAAAACACTTCAAAACATGATTCAGTAACTTTTGATTTGAAATTGAGATCCTAGAATGTTGTTGTTCTCGGAATATACAGCTGAAGCTTAGCTGAAACTTCATCAGGTTAGTTGTTCAGTATCCTTCATTAGATTTTGAACACTTTTGTTGCTTCAAACGAACAAAATCCACAAATTACAAATGATGGACTGTATCTTTAATCTGTACAGATATTGTCATGTTAAAGGTAATATACAACATTTGCAACGACAAATTATGAAATACCTCATTCGACTGTAATAATCTCAAGCAACCTGTAAAATCACGGCACCTAGTGTTCTGCCATTTTTCAAGGAAAGTGGAATTTTCGTGTCAAGTTCGAACGATGGTCAGCTGACAGTCGTTGGAAAAAAAAACGTGTTTTTTTTTCAAGTACTGCCCCCAATTTACCAAATTAAGTAGTTAGTCCACATTTTGTGAACGGGTGCCAGCCAGCGAGTCTGGTTCCCAGACCTGACAATTCCCCAATTTCTATAAATTGCTCTGCTTCATCTGAAGCATTGTTTTTCTCTTGGATGTTCCAGCATCTATGAACACAAAACTTTAAACAGGTCAGCCTGCAGTGTAACAAGATGTGCTATAAAGTACTAATTAACCCCCAAATCCATCCGTTTCTGAAAATTACAGCCAAGGCAAATGTTGTATATTACCTTTAAATAACAATCCCACTTGTATTAAGACAGAGGTAACTGGCTAGGCTCTTGTCTCATTTGAGACAATTTCTTTGGCAAGTCTAGGGAGTGCACAAACAGTCTAGTAAAGGTCGTCACAATTGTAACATCAGACATAGCCCAATGGTGTTATGGAATATTTCACTAATTCCTGAGCTTTGAGACTCCCAAAAAAAGGAAATCACATGAGGTACAGTTCACACACGTGTACATTGTTTGTGAAGAGCGAAATGAACGCTTACAAGCAATTACTGAGTGTACGTTTCGGTTTAAGTGGGAATCAGCTCCATTTACACATTGGTTTTCAACACAAACAGCCGTACAAAGGCTACCTGAAGTTCTAAGCTTTCCATAGGTTTGTGCACAAGCATGGATGTGCCCATCAAGCTTGCACTATGTACGGCGAGTTATAGTCTCTAGTAATTTAATATAGCTCTAAGGTGCTTATGGAGAACCTCTCAAGCTTAACGAGCGCAACGAAACTGGGGCCTGGTCGGATCAAACCTCAAGCAACAGATAGAGACCATAGTGTGAATGAATTTTGAAAACCAGAGGCAAATGGCAAACGTACAATCAGAAAAGCGCGCTGTGCTTCCTTGAATTTTAGATTTCATCGTGAAGGACCAAATAAGGAGAGACAGCGACGAAAACAAGACAAGACACCCTCCACTTGCACAAACACTTCTCAGTATGACATGAATACTACAACTGAAATAGAAGTCCCTGAATCAAATCCTGGTGTCGTACTTGGTTTGTTTAGGTGTTTGGTTTTTTGGGTGGAGGGGGGAGGGGGATGAGGACTGGGGAGGGGGCTGAGGCTCTAGTGGCGTGTGCTGAATGGTCGTATACAACCTGCAGGGGAGCTCCAGTCACTGACTGGTGTGTTGGCCTGGTAGATGCGTGTCGTCGCGCGGTTGTAGATCGGTAACAGTTCGTTGGCCTCACTTGACAGAACCTGATGTATACACAGAGGGTGACACATACTGTTAAGATGTGGTAAGCCACAAGGGACAGATGATTTTTCTTCTCTAGTGCCTTGCTAGAGCAACGGTTTTACTTCAGATTTCACATTAACAAATTAAGTGAAATTACATCAAGCTCTACACATTCCTGTTCATAAATTTTGAGTTTACCTACCCATTACAAAGTTAACAGCCCAATTTCATTTCGAAGTGCACAAGGAATCCTTTTAAAATGCGCCCCAAAGTACTTGTATAATATTAATAATAATAACCGTATTTATATAGCACCTTTTCCAAAGGATACAAAGCGCTGGGGGAGAATGCAACCGAAGACAGGTAAGTGAAGTATATGAACATATGAGACCCATTATGTAGCACCTTTTTGCTACAGTGCTGCGGCGCATATTGCTACCACTGCCAGAAACACAGGGGCAAACTCCTTTTCTTAGCGACAAGTGTATACTGGGATCTTTAACGTGCATTACACAACACACGGGACCTACGGCTTTACGTCTCATCCGATGTATGGCAACTTACAAAGTACCAAGGTAACAGGGACAGGAAAAAAAGTTCCCACTTTGGACCCTAAATTAATAGAATGACCCATATGCCCATGGGAAAGTGTACCTACCGGTAGGTAGTTTACAATGGCCGCTACAGTTTGCAAGGCTAAAATGTCATGTACATGTAACTGTGCATCTTGCTTTACCTTGAGGTAGACAACGGCGTCAGTGCCATAACCGTCCATAGACGTCACGGTCAAGTCCCCATGGAAGTATTTGGCGTAGAGTCTGGAGATGGGAAGACCGTAACCGTAACCGGCCTAAAAAAAAAAAAACCACATAGTGATTTATTTCCTGGGGCCATTTTCATGCAGCTGCTAGGCCAAACGAATTTGCTAAGGACAGGTAATATTTGCTAAGCCAAAGCAGGTTACTTGCTGGAACAACAGTTCGTTCTTTGCCAACCGATTTGCATATTGCAGCCGCATGAGGTCGCTGTTCGCGCCTCGTACAGTGCACAGTGCGTGACTAATGTTTATGTTTTTAGCATCTAGATACCATCACAAACACCTGACGAACACCTAGGCCGAGGCCAGTTCCGTCGCGGCCCAAGCAAATCGCAGGTCGACCTGAGGCCGGCTTAAAGTGCAAGACTTATTTTCAAATTCCACAACCTTGCCAGATGCTTTTAAAAATTGTTGGCTTATTCAGATCAGGAATTTAGTGGAGTTCACAATACTCAATATTAACTGGATTGGCAGACAAATCCACTAATTATCGTGTGAGCAATTGAGCCGTTTTTCTTAAATTTAGTGGAGTGGACAAACATTTTTTTTCACATTTCTTTTTCACATTTTTTCACAATCCCTTAAAATTACTCACACTAACAAACTGATCAACTTCAGAGTGTGTCAACCCCATAGAGCTGTATTAAATGACTAGAATGCTAACTCCTCATTCCTTTGCACAGAATACTTTCCAACGCCTCCTGGGCACAGACATTTTGATTAGTACTTGGTACTTGGTTGGCTCTTCTCCTAAGGACTTCCACAAGGGAGTATAACTAGGAGGCCAGAAACACCGGGGCAAACCCCTTCTCTTAGCAATAGTGTAACTGGGTTCTTTAACGTGCGTTAGGCCTCCGGCTTAACGTCCCATCCGAAGAACGAAGCAATAATGGTTAAGTGCCTTACTCAAGGGCACAAGTGTCCGGGCCCGGGCTCGAACCCACGCCACTGTTGCCTCTGAAACACCAGAGCATGAGTCTGGTGCTCTTAACCTCTAGGCCATGACACTCCAGTGTATCCGTGGTGTAGAACATATAAAATCAAATGGAATGCAAGTTCACCTGTGAGTTCTAAATGCAAAGCGAGAGTACAACAGAAGTGACTGCATAGGGACGGTTTTATATTAAAGTACATGTACATATGGAAGAAATAGTTTGTAGCAGGTAGGTGCAAGTGTGTTGAAATGAGCAAGGTGAAATAGTCATTTAACCGATTGCTGATTGTTTCTTTTTGAGGTTCAGTTGTATCAGCTTCATTACCATTTTAGTGCAAAAATATGGATACGTCCAGTAAAGTATGTTGCATAAGGCAATTTGCTCTCTATGAGCTCCGTGCGCCATCGAAATAGGGCGCCCTTTTACCTAGCAACGACGTCCCATGGGCGCGACATTTAGCTGGTTGACACGCACCATTCCTTGTGTGTGACGCACGTACACCAGGGGATTTGTATTATGTACACACAGTGGTACGGCCGCGAGTTTGTCAAGATGGCGTTGGTCGGTCACCCCCAACTGAACTTTGTTTGCCAGTGAGGGGGTACTTGTGAACGGAGCGGATAGGTTTGATCTAAGCTCTGTGGTGAACCCATGATCATTGCCATTCTCGTCACTGAACCGTTCCGATTCTCTGTTCCATGCCTCCAGTTTTGAGGACATGTGTGACCCGTCCCCGCAACGACTGTAGGGGATTGAAGGTGACAGGGAGGGGGGAGTTGTTTTGGACCTGAATGGGGGAGTCTGTGTTTCCTTACCAGTGGGGGGATGGTTGTGGTGCCCGGCTTCGGGGGATGGGGCGCAGTGGAGTACATGTAGTTGAAGAGCTTCTCAATCTGGGTCTTGGGAATGCCGCCGCCTTGATCACTCAGCTGTTGGTTAAACAAAGGGGGGGGGGGAGGTAGACAATGTTAATCAAATATCTACCGACAACGCTGAGAAATTAGGTCTAAAAAACCCATTAGCGCTTGTACTACATTGTATTACATTGTATTGCATGAATGTGTCGCCACACGTCCAGGAATAGCCATGCCGGCCTTGACTAAAGGCTATTCTGATAGGGGAGGGGAAACCAGTCTACCCATGAGAAATAATTGAAATAATCAATTATTCTGGAATAAGTTTTTCATTCAATGTCTCATTCAAAAGATAACCAAAATTGTTTTGCTTAACAAATAACTCAAAACAATGGTATTTTGCAGGAGTAGAATTTGAATATAGCATAGACAGTTAACAATTGTTGACTACTGTGATGTGGGATATGCTGTTTATAACACCCGAGGGGCGTACAGCACCCGAGGTGAAACCGAGGGTGCTATGCACCCAGAGGGGGCTAACAAACGACATATCAAACATCACAGCAGTCAACAATTGTTTTGTTATAGCGTGTCATAAAGATAAATGGTTGTAATAAAGATAAACGGTTGAAACTTAATACTGAGCGAGAAATAAATGAAATCACTGTGATGTAACCTTTGATACGCGTGCTTTCACGCCGGACACGAGACTGGGCGGTTGCAGTTTTAAGTCGCTAGCGCGCATGCAGGTTCTATACACACGTGAAACACGCGCAATGAATGCGGTGGATGCATTTTTTTCATAGACTGGACACATGAGCGTTCTAGAACGAGGAAAGTACAGTTTCCAAGCACGCAATATAACAATACATTTTAAAGCACCAGACCTGTCATTGTGTCCATACCTTTATTGTGACATCCTCCTTCCCCTTTGTCACCAACACTTTTATTTTTGGGTAGTCGATGACGCTGTTACCATGATGCTCCATTACTGCACGCATGGCATTCTGAGAAAGCAGAAACATTAATGAATCAATGATATTTTTTTTCAAACAATAACTGATTTTACAACAACAAAAAAGGAATTCATGTCAATCATCATCATTATTTATCCTGATGTACATGTAAATTAAGTTCATGGTGATAACAGAAATATCAATACACATGTTCAAGTAACTTCACAAAAATTACTTTTGGGCAATTTTGTCAAATCCAGTATATGTCTGACCATTTGATATCCATGTGCAAGGTCGTTAACTTGGTGGTACATGTACATGTACCTTAGTTTTGTCTGTTTTTGTTTTTCCTCATTAGATGTCACATATTAGTGATGTATCACATTCAGTATTCCAACATTCAGTATTCCAACAAGCGTCTGACTTTAAAGTGTTCGAATTTATGGAATTGCCCTTTTTTAGGGAAACCGAACTGAGAAAATGTAATGCCAACAATTTAATTGCGAGTTTGGCAGAAATTACCATTTTACAGGGAAAAAATCATTAACTCATTTAAAGATAAATTACTGAAATAAAAATAATGCATGTGTCAGCTTCTGCCCTACTAGTACTGTGCTGCAATTTCCATTTTCATTCTGAATTTCAATTTGTGTTTCCTTATGCTAAATTGGACCAAGAAATAATAACAAACGGAAATAAACCGGAAATTGCCTTCCAGCTGGGTAAATATTAAGTTATGCAAATAAACCTACCTTGAACAGTTCAAACAACATGTGGTACAGATGGGATGGTACATACACCATGTTGATGCCGTCAGTTTTATCCCGAGCTGAAATAAAGCAAACAAACAGTCACTCTTCGACTCATTTATTTATGATAAAAGTTCCCTTTTCGATAGCGTTTAGCAAATGTAGAAGCACGATGCTGAAAAGGCTACAGTAAGTCATTCTTACCATTGATCCATTCAATTTCAACATCTGGTGAGCCAAGGTAGTACTGGTCACATAGGTATTTGGCTCCGTCGTAGGCATCTACATGGGAATGATAGAGAAGAAAAGTTCTTTAATTTGAATCAATAAATACCAAGACAGAATACCCATTCCTACTGGTCGAGAGCCTGCCACGTGGCTGGTTTTAAACGGTTGATAAAGAACGGCTGGCTGGTCTCAAACCCTTTCCCAGTGTCACATGAATTTGGACTCCTATGAAATCCAGTGCCTTTTACCATTTTATTGGTTGAACGCTCACAATCCTCACATAGGCATGTGCAATACTACCGGTACCAGTGAGTCAGTATTTTACAGTCCTAAATTCATAATACACCAGCACAGCTTCATGATGCGCCACATCGTGCATTGCGCGTGATGCGCGCGCCAAGCTCCATATAAGGAGTTGTTTATGACTTTTCGCGAGACCAAATCGTTGGAAATATATAATTTTTAACCTGTTTGGACTTTTGGACCAAAACGTTTAGATTTTTGATAAAAAAAAAGGTATTTATGATTGGGAATTAACATGTGCTTGGCCGGTATTAAACACTCTTTATGGAATAAAGAAACTTTCCTTGATTAAAATCTTTTCTTGTTTTAGGCAGCCTAATTTAACCGGTCTTAAACACTCTGTTTCTCTGACATTCTAAATTACTGCCAAACCGGAACCAAAAATTGCTGAATCGAATCCCAACCGAACCCATACTAAAACTGAGGATTCACTTTCAGCACTAGTGCTGAAAATGAGTTGTCGATTCGGACTGTTGAACCTTATCGTCTTTTCTGACTAACGAACCTCGTATTATGTAACCTTTTTCAATTTTCAGACTAAATGAAGCCTTCAGACTATTGACTTTTTAGACTAATGAATGCTTCGAACTTTGCCTTTGTAATATCAAGTGGTAACCATACCACGTATATAGACAGGGATCACGTCAGCCCATAGTCACAATGGTAGCAGCATTAGCAATGTTGCAAAACTGGGGATCACTCAGCGGATAGTAACTTTTTCATTTTTTTTGAAACAGTAGGATTACCTTTGATCACAGACACAACATCGCAGTCAGGGTTGATGCTGCCTATGTGCGTTGGGTGGCTCTTCGGTGCACAACCAAATATCAATGCTGAAAGAAGAAAACACAAAACAACATCACTAGTTGTGCTTACACATGCATGGCACATCACTATTTGACTTGATGACCAATTGATCTGGCAATCAACCAAAGGATCTGTAATCCGTTGATTAATCAATGAAAGCAAATGATATCTACCGGTACCAACAACCAATCAGTCAAAAATGAAACATGATAAAATTGCATATAAAGTACATGTACCATCTGACCATCTGTAGTATGTACATATCTGTATTAAAAGTTATCTCAACTAAATTAACATGAGTATTCTGAATAAGTTCTGAACTGAAGGTACTTTTTCAGTGCAATAACAATTATGTTCAGCATTTTTCTTCACATTTCCTGACATGTCAAGGTTTTCATGATAATTATGCCCTATTCTCGTTCGATGTTTTCGTCATCATTTTATCACAATCCTGATCTCACTTTTGCGTTTCATCTAAACTTGTGGCAATTGACCAAAAAGAAGTGTTTTAAATTTTATGGTTACAGCTATGAGATTATATTCAACTTCATGTTTTGTTTTATTTTTTTAATTTTCTCCGAGTGTGGGGCTCTTTCTCACCAAATTGTTTCACCCTAAAAAACAAAGGAAGGGGAAACACATACAAAATAATACAATGTTTCTCTTCTTCTTTTTTTCTTACAAAAAGCACCCCAAAAAAAAAAAAAGCCAAATCTTAGCATCAAAGTCATTAAACCTGCTGGGTAGGAAAATATTTCCATCTTTGCGGGATATAAATATACGTTGCATTGTCCTGCTGTTTTATGATCAGTTCGATTTTACACTGGTAAATAACAATGTACATGTACATGTACATTTTGGATACACGTATTACAGTCTTGTATTCAAATTTCCAAAATGTTAAGGGCTGTATTTAGCCAAGTGAGTTATGCAACAGGATGTGCAAGCATTACGCAAACATAAATTAAGGAAACTTGTACGTGTATGTCACACTGTATGATTTCCTGCATGATCAAGCATAATTTCCACTCATTGACACATTTTGTGGCAGCTGTACTAGATTATTTACCATTTTTTGGAAATCCTGTTCTTCCATTTCAAACATACTTTTTCTTTCCGATATAATTTTTTTGAACATCTTGTATAGGAGGGAAGATGTTAAACTATAGGGTTAGGGATAGGGGTATAGGTTGGAATAGGAGTGAGTTTTGGAGTTTAAACAGCGGTCGAAAGGGAGGGCAAGCACACATAAATAGCCAATTAAAGAGGTACATAACATTAACACACATGGTACAAGCAGAAACAATTTTGAACAACTGAGCATTGTCCCTGTACCACCCAAAACCGCCCTGCTTGTTACTTTCTGTACTAAAACTTTTGTAATTATATTATACATGTCTCAGCACTCCATGGTTTTAATATGCAATTATCAATGTACAAAATGTAGATGCTATTAAAGGGTTAACATGAGATTTGAAGGTTTGCATGGTGGAAAGATACTAAGACAGATACTAAGGTTCTTTTCAGAACCACACATACTCACAAAACAGAGATTTATTCACATGGTGCTACCACAAACTTATCTTGTCTTAGGGTTAACATGGTTAACAAATATGTTGTAATTATAAAATATTGCTTAACATTTCAGTACAAGTGCAGTTTCAACAGACATGAGAGACGGGCAAGGGAAACAAGACAATGTGTAAACGGCCACAGACTTTCAAAAAGTTTGGCTACATCTTGTAAGTCATGTATTTTAACATGTTAAACACAGCTACCATAATTTATCCTAAATGTGTACATAGGACAGGCTCAGCCTGGGGTCACTTAGGAAAAAGTATGGCAGCTTTATAGCCAGGTCAAGGGCATCAAGGCTGATTTATGCTGACGAAAACATAGATAGAAGTTCTTTGGGTACTTTAATCTCATGATACAAACAAATGCCAACCACACTGCCAGGGTCATCTGACTTCTGACACTTATTACATGTACATGGGATTTATTGCTATGTAGTTCTGTTATCTGAAGAGTTCTTGTTTATCAAAAGCCAAATAGTTTGGCAAAGGTTGTGACCTTTTGCATGCGTCTATCTTGCCATCTTCCCCAAGACACACGTACACACATTCCCCTTGAAATACCTGTATCAGGCCTCACAATGCCAAATTTTCATCAATACAGGAGGTGTTTTGCTAGGTTTTAAAAAACAAAACAAAGTCCACAGGTTTTTTAAGGTTTTCCAAGTGCCAATATACAGGAATTGATAGGTTTTTAGAGTACACTTTGCAGCATGAGGTAGCAGAAATACAAGAAATTGTGTTGTCAGGTGACTTCTACATGTATATAGATGCCATACAAACTGCTCAAATGTAAAACACTTGTGAAAACATTTTGGAGCTAAGCATATTGACAGTGTGGTTATTATGGCATTATGATTTAACTAAACTGTGGGATGTACCGATTTTTACAATTTACTTTTAAAATTGTTTAAATATGTCATGGCAGAAACACAAATTACTATACCGGGGCGTGCAAAAAGAAAGAAACCCACTTTTGACAGCAATTTTCACCTATTTGTTGAGCATATTTCAACAATTCAGTTTAATGGTATTAAAGTAGTAGTCCTGTTGTTAATGGTTTACAGATTTTTAGCGTGCATTCAAGATGTCTACCAAACTGATTAATATTTACACTGCAAGTAATGGCCGTGTCTATAAAGACACAAGAGAGATCCTGCTATTCTTTGATCATGCTGATAGGATATGGGGTTGGTGGATCAACACCATTGTATTTAAAACAGCACCAAAACATCTGATCTGATGCACTGATGACCTCTATCTGAAGGTCTGTATACACCTTGGCCTGCATTCATAATCTACAAGTACGTCAAACGTTAATACAATCGCAGGAAATTCAAACAATGAACTGCACTTGCAATTTAGTCCTGAAATGATGAAATGGTTGTTGCAAATAAGACAGTGATTAGGCCCATGTCGTTTTGTAATGGACTAGTTTGTTTGAGGGCTGACAAGATTTGTAAAGTTCTACGAAACTTCGAAATATTTTTTTTTAAACTGTTTTTACTTGTCACTGTAATGCAATTTTTTTTAATTTTTATGTTTTTATCTTGCTATCTACATGTTGTGTATATCTTGTACATTTATTTTTTTAATATTTTTTATTTTTTTGAGTGTAGTTTTTATCTTGCTGTTATAAATTGTTGACAGGTGTCTGGATATACACATCGTTTGATAACAGTGTTTTTTTAACTTAAATTGTATTCACATGAAAGCCCCTGTTCAACCTTTATTAAAAAAGTATGATGTAAAATAAATATTAGTAATTTCAAGCACTGATCTGTGTACATGAGCTCCATGCAAAAGTATTAGATAAGACACACAGTGACATATCCAGGAGGTGGCCCCCTTTTAACAATTTTTATGAACAGTACATTTTTTACTGCCCCTCCCCCCTGGTATTTCATAATAATTTTGCAGTTTCGTTTTTTGATGTTTGCAAATGTTGTATAGGTCTCTCTCAAATGACGTCATTTCCTACAGACCAGCCACGTGCATCGGCTTTTTGAGTGTCAACTTGCATAACGCGCATCGGCTGCGGCGTATTTCGAACACGTTTCGAGCAACAAGCGCGCGCGTTTGGAACATTTTCAACTCTGCGCAATGCGTGCTGCTTGATTGCGTAAAATACGCAGAACAGTTCTCCTACAGAGATGGCTATCTTTGAGAGAGACCTAGTCCCTTTAAACTCACTGTGTTGGTTGATGAGCATTCTTATGCTGATTCGAGACAGGTAGAATCGATCCAAGAAATACTGGATGTTGCTCTCTTCGAAGTTCTCTACCTCATAGCTCTGCCTCATCTCCATCACCCCCTGTTGCCAGGGAAACCACACAACATACGTTAAACAATGTTGCACTCTCGCTACCAAGTATACATTGTACATTCGATGCATCGGGGAGGTTTGAAATAAAATCTTACATTTTGTACAAGCTAGAGACACTGACATCAAATCCAATATTCACCTTATCAACTACAGTTCATCGCTGATTTCTGAACAACTGTTGAGCATTTTCAAGGGCACCATAACTTGGATCTCAACAACCCAAAATGACAACTTTTCAACGGACTGAAATTAATTTGTGCTTGGGGTTTCAATAAAATATTAAACGCTGTACAGTGTACAAGGATTGACATACCTGTGCCATTGTCTCCACGACGTTTGCATGTCTGTTCCTGATCGTTATCAGCTTATCTGTAAACCTACACAGAAAAACACAAAAAGAAATTCACAAGCTTGCTGGCGTAGAACTTCAGGCCTTTTCACACTAGAGCCTCTCAACCCGGGTTTGACTCAACCCTGGGCGAACCCAGTACTGCCCCAGGTTGGGTTTATGATTTTTCCAACCCCACTTTCAACCCCTCATCGTTTTACACTTTGTTTCGTGCAAACCGAGCTTATTTCGCTCGGTTACTACTGCTGTTTTGAACCCTGGCCAGACTTTCAAAAACGAGTTGAGAATCTCAACCCTGGTTGAGTTCAACTGGGGGTGAAATCAATCTCAGGCTTGACGTAGGGTTGGCCCAAGGTTGAAAATGTTCACGTGTGAATTGCCGCATATTTTAACCCATCTGTCAACCCTGCGTCAACCCTGAGATTTGTCTGCTGTGAAAAGGCCTTTAAAGGGAATATACAACATTTGCAAACATCGGAAAATAAAACTACCAAGTTTTTGCGAAATACCTTAATAGGATGTTGGTAAATGACAGTTTAAAGCATCCTGTAAAATTATGGCACCTGGTATACTGTCATTTTCAAGAAAAGTGGTATTTTTGTATCAATTTCCAACGCTGATCGGCCGATCAGCGTAGGAAACAACTGGCTTTTTTTTCAAATACTGGCCCCAATTGACCATTGCACTTGTCTGCAATCGATTACAAACCTATGAACGGGTACGAGCCAGCTAGACTGGTTCCCTGACCTTACAATTCCCCAATGTATGTAAACTGCTCTGTTTCTTCTTATATGGAGTCAGGGAACCAGACTACAGGAAAATGATCGTTTTTCTTGGTTTTTATAGCATTTTCGAACCCAAAACCTCCAAAAAGTCAGTGTAACTATATTTGCTTTATATTTCCAACCCCCCAATTCCATCCATTTCTGAAAATTACAGCAAAAGCAAATGATGTATATTCCCTTTAATTACTTGTTCATTAACCCTAAATCCCTAGCATAATTTACTAGGAACCATACCCATCCAGGCAAATTCCAACACCCACATGGGAAATCGTACACACACACTGTTGGACTTAGTTTCTGAAGGCATGCCAAACCCAATGTAGATGTAAAAGACCATCAGTTTAGGGGTACTGTACCCATTCTAACAGATTTCAACAACACCTGCTGTTGGACTTTGATGGGTTGATTTCGGTTAGGGTTAATCAACAACCCCAAGCTTACTAGCATGCCATGCCTAGTGCAGATCTTAAGCCCCCCCCCCCCCCCAAACATGTGGGTAGGCTTTCTTCCGGGGGGGGGGGGGGGAGCATGGCAGAAATGATGGGTCATTTTCAGAAAGCACAAGTTGTTTTGAGAAGAGTGATCTTACATTTTCATTATGGTAGGCTCATCGTCAGTATCAACATAGTCCAGAAGATCCTGTAGCGTTTGTGTGTACCTGAAAAAAAGAGCACAGTCGGACCAAAAAAATATTCTTTAAAGCCATTTGTAACATAAAGGTCATGGCATTTGATTTGTAAGTTGCTCGTTTGCAAGTTTTCCCAACGTTCCAGAAATATTCTGAATCCCACTCAAGTCAGTTAACACAATTTTCCAAAGCACATTTTTCTCCCTTGTTACAATGTAAAGTTACATAATCGTAACATTTTCTCAAAAATAAACAGAAACTTGTGGTTGAGATTGGGGGAAATAAAAAATCCATGAAATAATCAGCAGACATGGCTGAGGGTCACTGACCCCAGAGCAAAGGGTCTATGATATACACAGTATGTACAATGTATGCTGTCATTTGCCTTAAGGCACCCCTTAAAAATTCTGCAAAATCCCCCGGCAATCACTGTCAATATGTTGAGGCACAGCCAGTGACATCCTGGAGCAGTGCCGAGGATTTCAAGTATAATATGGGCCTAAATTTATGCATGGCTGAGCATTAACAACACAAGGTCCGGACCAAGACCTTGACACAGTGCAACACACTTTTGCCATGTAGCCTCAATCCTGCAAAATCCTCCATTTTGCAAAGAGGATTTTGGAGGAATTGGGATGGTTAAGGTGAAGCAGCCATTATACATGTACACACAAAATGGATGAACAGATGCAAGCGAAAATGGTACTTAACCCTAACTCCCTAGCATGATTTACTAGGAACAATACCCATCCTGACAAATTCCAACACCATATGGGAAACTGCACACACATATTTCTGACTTTGATTCTCGAGGTGTGCCAAACCAATGTAAAAGACTGTCAGTTTAGGGGTACTGTACCCCAACAAAACATGCCGTTGGGGTTTGATGGGTTGAGTTCTGTTAGGGTTAAAGGGAATGTACATCATTTGCTTTTGCTGTAATTTTCAGAAATGGATGGATTTGGGGGCTTGGTAATACACATGTATATAGCAAATATTGTTACACTGACTTTTTTGACGTTCTGGGTTCGTAGATGCTATAAAAACCAAGAAAAACAATCATTTTCCTGTAGTCTGGTTCCCTGACTCCATTTAAAATGAAACGGAGCAATTTATAGACGTTGGGGAATTTTAAGGTCAGGGAACCAGTCTAGCTGGCTTATACCGGTACCCTTTCACATGCACATGTGTAATCGATTGTAAACAAATGAAGACTAACTAAATATGGTCAATTGGGGCCAGTATTTGAAATAAGCCAGTTTTTTTTCCAACGCTGGTCGGCCGACCATTTTTGGAAATTGATACGAAAATACCTCTTTCTTGAAAATGACAGTGTACCAGGTGCCATGATTTTACAGGATGCTTTAGACTGTCATTCACTAACAGTCCGGCAAGGTATTTCAAAATAATTTGGTAGTTTTATTTTTTGATGTTTGCAAATGTATTTTCCCTTTAAGGTTAGGTACATGTACATGTACAGGTAGGTGTCAAATATCACCTTTTTTTACATAGCATTTTGCTACTGTAGTAAATGTATGCTAGTTAAATAAGAAACTACATGTATGTCCAAATTTATATAAGAGCATTCAAAACCCAAAGACAAGCGCTGAAAGTGCTAGGCCAAAGAATGAAAAAAAAACCACACAAAATGCAAAATATTGAAGACAATCCTCACCATCCCTGGACTGTTTTACAGGAAGGCATCTGTAGAAGTTTTTCGGGCAGAAGGTTGATCTCCTTCATGATGTTGCAGATGCGGACAGGAAGCTCTTGGCGAAGAAAGACAAATGACTTCTGTTCATCAGCTCCCTGTAAACCTACATGTATGGAGGAGAAGAAAAACATCTTCATTTAATTCTCAATGTTCAGTAAACAATCACTAACAGTAAACATGATCTGCCTGAAAACCTTCCTTCATCGGTTCATCCCCCAAAATGGTAAGGAAGCTTAAAGAGCCCATCTTGATCCCGCCTTCATTAGCATAGAAAGTCAACTGATACATGTATGACTTAAAAAAAACCAACATTTTTTCGAGATACAATTTCAGGGAAAGACGAAATCTTTAAAACTACACACACTTTTTTCATCAGATTAGGCCCAAAAGTTCTGCCCCCGATTACATGGCATTTGAAAATAGGGTAGGTAGGTCATCGCTGTTTTCAGGGCGACATTAGGTTTGTGCGCATGTCCATGCTTTAGCTCGTATAAAACGCCCTCTTGGGACCGAATTGTATCCAGTCTCGTTTTGCGTAAAAACAGCTCACCAGAGGACGTCTTTTCAATCACCTTTTTATATTATAAATAAGTTTTTGATATTCCAGATAAATAACAATAAATCAACAGAAAAAGGACTATATCAGATAGGGCATGTGAACTTTTTGGTACGACACTTGATGAGAAAACACCTCACAAAAATTACCTTTGGTTGCGACGTTTATAAATGTCTCAATCGGAACGAAAATAAGGGTCATGTTTCGTGGGATTTTTCGTCATCTTGGGAAGTTAATGTGTATTTTCTTTTGGCCTGTTTCTAAATTTTCCCCAATTAACAATTCTCCGCTGAAAAAAAAACTGGCTTTATTTGGAATTTGAAACAGCTCAACACATTCCCTATTTCACGTGAGAATTCAAATTACTTAGGGGGCATAAGCGTTATGAACAGGCATTTACTACCGTAGCATGTACATGTATGTTCCGAAATCCATGACATACATGTACCGGTACACGTACATTTTGTACACATATACCGGTATGCTTGGGTCCTTGTATGCCAATGGAGAAAAAGGATCAGGATCATGAAAACACCAGCGTACACAATATTACATGTACATGTACATGTACTGGTAGTTGTAGCCCAAACACATCCATAATCTCCTTATTTGCATATGAATTATTAGCCAGTTGCCTCAGTGGGCGTTGTCTCCATATCCTTGTTTCTGATTGGTTGAGCACGGGGGTGTGTTGTGGCATTGATAGGCAGAGTGACCTCTATTTGACATTGTTTGGTTTGGGAGTCAGGGGAAATGCACACTATTGCACGTACGCCAAGGCTCTATGCACCAAGTATTATGACAACTTGACAAATGTACAATTTTGTGTCTGTGTTATATATGTTTATCAGACTCAGTACATTAACCCAAAGCCATATGTTTTAGTTCTGCTAGGAAATTTTTGGAAGCTTCCTGAATTTGCCACAAACAACAATCACTTTATAGTAGAACATTTTTTTTTTTTTACAAAATTGGGACATAGCCTATACCGGTATGATAGTATGTACCCGATACACTGGTACACGTATGCACCTTTGTACATGTACATTGTACATGTTATGCATATGCCAAGCAGTCAAAATTAGTAGTTTGCCTGAGGCCTATCATTTACCTTTAAATGCATTTTGTAATGTAAATTGTGGATTGTCTCATTTATTGAAGTATGAAAAATTCATGGTTTTTTCCCCAGCATTTTGGGGAATTGATATTCAAATTGCTTTCAAAACAGTGCACTTGTATTATAACAAGTAATATGCTGCAACCAATGACAACAAAAACAATTCTTTGAAAATCTTTCGAAAAATCTTCTGGTGTGCATGTGGCTAATGTTTTAACGGTTCCTTATGGTTGACGTCACTCGTCTGGCTCAAATTTATCAAAAACTGACTTTTATAAAAGGTACTGGTACAGACGCTTACATGTTTGGAATTCAAACATCTGTCAAATAACAGAGATAAAGTTTGAAACACTTCAGGCAATATTCCATCTGCAACCTCTCTGAAACATGTTAAAGTTTACAAAGTATTCACATGTGTGTGTATTCTACTAAAGTGCATCATGTACGTGTAGAAATAACTCTTGTTTGAGGACTATTTTCGTTTTAGGTTTGACTTTTTGGCCCATTCTTCTCGAATTAACCATTCATCAACCTAATTAAACAGTACAACTTTGTCATATAGTCATATAGTCATAACATGATAAGTTTCTTAACATGAATACCGGGAGGTTGAGTTTAATTCGTAAAATCTTTTAGAGATTTTAGAGAGGTTTTGTACTGTTTATTTTTCACTCAACCAAGCGTTATGCTCCCTATGATGTAGATGTACATGTACTCATACCTATATATTGTAATGAGGCAGCACATTACTCCAGTCAAATTTTCCTTTCTTGAAACTATTCCAATGTTATATAAAAAGTATGTGATGTGATCAAGCTACATGAGTCGTTTGTCGGGAGTTTTCATTTGGAGATACATGTACAGGCCAAAATAGGGCCACTTCATCACATCACTTCATCACATCTCTTGGTGTTCCAGCTTCCATAATTTTTTAACAAAGTAAATATGGTATCAGCATGCAGTTTTCACAGCAGTAATGCTGAGATTGTGTTCTTTTTAATATCTGTAATAAAACAATTTTGACCGGGGTCGACAAATGACTCATTTAGCTCTAATCGCATCACATTCTTCATTCATAAGTCACTGATAACACAAAAATTCATAATATTTGCATTTTTGAAACTTTTGAGATCATACATGTGTAACAGTGTAGGTCACAATATTCACTATCATTGATTGACAGACAGTATTATTTGCGTCATAATCTGCTGATTAAACAAGTGCTACAAACGCAGAGAGCTGTTATTAAATGATGCAATCACATCAAAGTTCATGGAAGTACTCAAAAGTTCAATGAAAATGGCATTTAACTATTTTTTTTAGTCAAGCAGGAAGTCACAACAGGGAAAAATGAGAATTTTTAAGATTTGTGGACATGAATTAAATGTACTATAGGATTGGACACTAAAAATTGTAATTTCCACAGTTTCCTATACAACTGTTTTATTAAAAATCGTATAAAAATTGGAGGATTCAGGACTGTTGGGGGTAGACACACCCATACAACTTTTTTGTATAGAGCAGTATTGAAATGCAATTCTGTCCAGAATGAACTTTGTCGGGCTGTTTTTGTGGCCACGGTCTAATGGTTTTAAACATGTGTGCCAGATACATACATACGTGTACAAAGTGTTCCTGCATCTGGGGTCCAACAATTGTATGCACCAATAATTTTTGTTTGTTCTGTCCCATGACAACGCACCATTATAATGTCTTTTTTTTTCAAAGCAGGCCTAACTTTAACAAATACTTCCTATGAAAACGAACTAATCGAAGAACTTGGTAATTTTTATTTCAAACTTTAACAAACAGGAAAAGTACTAAACTGTTCCATAAATCCGATAACTTTAATTGCTTGCTGTTGCTATTTTTGTGGAAGTCAACCGTTGTGCATGTGTCAGTTGACAACAAAATGGTTCTCTGCTGAAAAGAATTTTCTTTTATCCACCGCCAATTTTCACATCAATTTTCACCTCACATTGTGATTTCATTCAACACAAATCCAGGAGGCTCTGCAAAACTGAAAACATCTTGGGAAAAAGGTGTTTTTAGTGCTCATTTTAAGTGCACACATCGTTCGGCAGCCATTCTGACAATGATTTAAGGGAAAGAATTGCACACATGCGTACGCCACTTGACACCATGTGTACAAACCCTGAAATGGTCTGAAAAATTCTAAGTGTTTTCCAACTAAATGCTTCAATACTTTCCCTGCTAAATTTCACTTTTTAGGACATGTTATCCGTCTCTGATGGTTAATGAGTCATTGCAGGGAAAAACTAGTGGCGTACTAGACCCACTAAACTGGGGCACTAGAACTCCTTTTTTGACATTTGGGATGTGGTCTGTCATACTAGCACAACAGACCACATCCAAAATGTCAAAAAAGGAGTTCTACTTCTAGTGCCCCTGTTAGTGGGTCTAGTGGCGTACGTATGTGGAATTCTTTCCAATTGAAGGGTCTTGAAGTCTGCGGTGCACAATGCACATGACAACGCACTGGCCAATAACACTGCAATACCTCATCATGAATATTTAATTTCTCACGAATATTAAATTTATTAAATTTTCAATAGTCTTACTTCAATTGATACCGGTACATTTTATAATTACATCAAATACATGTAGGCCTAAACATGCTAGACCTGTAATGCCAACAAGCAAGTGTGTGGTCGAGTGGTACCCCTAGAACTATGGGTCTTGTTACGTGTAACAAGACCAATGCCATAGTTCTACTTCTAGGAGCAGTTGAGTGGTTAAGGCTGGTGTGTTTAATTATGACAGTTTCTCCCGTTCTGGGTTTGATTCCCATTGATGTCCATGAAGTAAGTACATGTAACAGATTTATAAAGAGGAATGGAGGAGGGAGAGATGGTGAAAGTCAAGGAGGAAAAGTGGAGGAAATAACCATGCATAGGCCTATGCATATACCGTAGCATCTGCATGATCATGACTTTTTGGCGCTTGAAAATTTATTGAAAAAAGTGGAGTGGCGTCCGTGTACGGAATTCTTTCCTCTCTGACTTCAATTCCCTTTACAATATCTTACAGAGCCATGAATTAGAAAGAAAAATTAAATCTACATTTCTTTAAAAGTAGGATTTGATTTAGGCCTTAAACAATAAAAGTATGAAAATAGATTTTGCGAAACTAGTCAACACACTTCTTATTGAAATTTGAATTATGTAAGTATTGCACTCTATTCTAACACATATATACCACTACCACTGAGTACCAGCTGCAGTCATGGCAGTGACTAGTGCTCAAGCATTAAAAAGAATTTGAAACATACCGGTGCAGTATAGCCTTGAATGATTGAAACAAGACAGTAGGCATGTGATAACTGATATGTACGCCGACTCACCGAAATCTAAGAACTGCTTCATCGACAATGGTGATGGGGAAAACTTCGAAAAATGGTCCATTCTTGACGGCAGACTTTTGGCCGACCTTAACAATAGAATCGTCAGCCGAACCATGTTGCTATTTTGCTTCTCAATCAGCTAACGTACGAAGCCAGACGAACAGGAAAAGTGCCGGCAACGCGAGTCCGATGGAGTGTTCACGGAGCGTGCACTGGCCGGAGGATTGGCGGGAGAAACGTTGTCAGTTGCCGGTAAACGCTTGCAACGTCAACATCGGTCAACAAGGTACACTAAAATCTGATTGATCAGAAACAAGTTGTACTGATGTTGTAAAATTCCTATTTTTTGACAAGCTTGATGCAATTTATATACAAAAACCACAATAGTTAGTTGACAAAAAGGGGACGCGAACTAAACTGTTCTAGAAGCCGTACGTGTACGATCGACCAGACCGATATCTTCAATGGAAAATCACTGGCTGTCACGTACGTACGTACCTTTGACCTTATGCGCTATGCATATTCATTATACACTCGAACAGACTCGAACTCTCGCGAGCCATACCAGATGCAGCTGGCCAGCAGTAGCTATAGCTGTATAATAAAGATCATAATCATGATAATGAGCCTCCACCACTCACTTATGCACTTCATGCCAGCCTGAGCATCGTATAGCAGGTTTCCGAGGTTCCGAGTCGGTCTTCAGGTTGAATTTGTATTTCTGAGAAATCGGAAATGTACTCGAAGTACTCTATTTTGTGATGGAATTAATGGATATGTCGATCTTGTCTTCAGAACGTCTAATACGATAGGATTGACCATGATGCTTTTGCGAGAATAATTATTACTCTAAAGTCTCGGCTAACACCCCCCCCCCCCCTCCAAAAACAAAAACAAATTGAACAGATTAGGAATGAAAGTAAATCAGGCTTAAATTGTATGTCTTGATCAACGATGAAAGTCCCTCTTTTTTATAACTTAACTGGGACTATCTTTTGCATGCACCCAGCAGGACCGCCCCTAGCCAGTGATCAGTGACGATCCTCACATCTCACATGCAAAGTCTAGGCAACCGTCAAATAATAAAATAGAAGGTGACGCAACCATTGAAACTCGGCCGAGTGAATACTTAAGGCACAACGTAAAAATGGACATTAAATGCAGGTTATGATGAGCAACTTCAGGGAAGAATTATTCAAAAATGCATGTCATGAATTTATACCAAAATGGTTTTTTTTATGATAAAAACATGATCGAGGGGGGTTTGAGCCCCCCCCCCCAAGTTGTCAATTTTTTACCTTTTTTTTTACCTTTGTTTTTAGTCCCACGATTTGACCTAATAGTGATGTATGTTTTAGCCTATTTTCGAGTAGTATAATATGGGTGTAAGTGGTGCCACCAACGTCAAAATAGTTCGCTCCCTTCCCCCCCCCCCAAAAAAAAAAACCCAATTTGTTTCTGCGGCCCACAATTTTGGGAAAAATTTTTGACAAAATTTTAACTTTTAAAAAAACTTGTGAGCCCCCTCCCAAAGCCAAATCCTGGTGCGCAACTGGGCACGTACGTTCTTTATCCTAAACGTAATGGAAATATATTGTCAAAGAGACTCAAGCAAGGTAAAATGTAAAGATGTATAACCAAGGGCGAATCTGGGAGGGGGCGCCAACGGGGGGCCATGCCCCCCCCCCCCCCCGAGGCAGGCGCTGCGTGACCACCATCATTTCCTCAAAACAAGATTGGTTGAAGTGGTCAGAAATTGCCTCAGATCGCCCCACAGAAGCAAACACAATTTTTTGGACCCTTAAGCGGGCGCCTAACCCCACTCTGTTGGGCCCACTTTTTTGGGACCTTTGCCCCCCCCCCCCCCCCAAAAAAATTGTGTTCTGGATCCGCCCTTGACTATAGCTGAGTTTTGCATCCAGTAAGACGGCCCTACAACGTCGATACACGCATCATGGTTACAGGGCAATTAACGTCACTGAAGCGTTCTATACCTTATAGTATATGGTAAAGTGGACAACCCCCTATATGTGTTAAAAGGGAACCTCTTTGATATCCAGCCAGAATTTAGTTATACGTGTAGAAAAGGCCTTGGATATCATTTTTCCCCCTAATTTTTTTTGTAATAATAAAATCTTTTTTGTCCCCACGCATGCATGGAAGTACGCGATGTGAAAACAAAATGTGATGGAACAAGCCTGTAGGAACCAAAATCCGGAAGTGAGGGTCGTAAGTAAAATTCGTTTTTACCCATTTCCAACCGATTTTTTTATCATTTCTTTTCTTGAGGAATGCCAAGATAAAATTCCAACACGACTGTTTCTTGGGTGTGGTTACGGTTAGATATATTCCTCAGTCAAATTACAGCACGAGGCACACATGGGCGTCGCGAGGGAAGGGAGCAATCGGGATAAAGGAAAGAAAGAAAAGGGGGGGGGGAAGAAAAACGAAAGAAAAAGAGGTGCGAAGTCATATTGCCATATGTCCCCCTGTCCATACCCTCGGAAAAAAATGATAAATTGAGAGTATGGTGGAAAAGTACAGGGATTTGGGGGACTTTGCCCCCCCCCCCCACACCTCTAACAAAATCCTGGCGACACCCGTACAAAGGAAGGGTAACCCCGTGTAAAATGCCATTGAGGGGGGTGGGGTCCGGAAGCTCAAAGACAAAATGGCGTTCCAGGCTCTATCGTGTGCACGACACCTTTTATTGTATAGGCGATATTTAAAAAAAGGGCCCATTTAGGGCAAGAAAGATCAGTGCATTTCTTATTAGAAGTCAGACGTGGCAGCAAGTCATTTTTTGCAAGTCCAAGTCAAGTCACAAGTCATTGTTTGCAAGTCCAAGTCAAGTCACAAGTCATTAGGTCCAGTCACAAGTCAAGTCACAAGTCATTAGGTCCAGTCACAAGTCAAGTCACAAGTCATTTGGTCTAAAAAAAAGTCAAGTCACAAGTATCTTTGTCCAAGAACACGTCAAGTTGCACATTACTTTGTCCAGCTGTAATAAGCTAAAAGAATTAACCTTGCGTGAACTTACGAGTTATTTTGAACATGCCTCCTTAATTCCCCTTTTTCAATGTGTTGCAATTACTATTCTTGTAGTTTATCACATATAATTATGTCGGATATTAGCCCTTTGTATACTTTAATAAATTTACTTTACATTGTAGAAATAAATGTTGAGATGACCGTGAAAAAAAGACTTCCTCACTCGATTACATGTAGTATACTAACACTTTATTGTTCAATTTTCATGTATACTAAACGCCTACCAATGGGTTAGGCTATCCGGTATTTTACATGCAATTGACAAAGGCCTGCTTTCTTTTCATGAAAGGTTCCTTTCAAAGTTTGTTCAACCAATACATTAAGTAAGAGACAATTGGTCATTGAAAACTGTAGTTTGTTGTGACAGTCTTATTGAACACTTTTTAAACTAGTGGGAACTATTCATTTCACTGGATTCAGTCACTGAGGTCTATTTTCTGGAATTAAAATGCTAATTAAATGTATAATAGCTTAATTCAAGTGTATTGGGTCGCTCGAGTAACGTCTGACTTGGGTTGGTAACAAGTCATTTTTTGCAATCCCAAGTCAAGTCACAAGTCATTGTTTGCAAGTCCAAGTCAAGTCACAAGTCAAAGCTGGTATTTACAAGTCAAGTCACAAGTCACAAAAATAGCAACTCGAGTCCGACTCGAGTCCAAGTCACATGACTCGAGTCAGCAACTCTGGTAGAAGTTGGTAACATAGCTAATTTTAACTAATTCTGGGGTGCTGAATCTGAAAATGATGGTTACCAAGCTGGATTTTTAGTGGAAATATGCCTAATTTGCATAAATCTTTAATACCTGTCGTGTAATACATTTTGTCCCATATTTGGGTATATTTTATGTTATTTTATTTTTTGAAAAATTTATTTTGGTGTTTATACTTTCTCATAATAATTAATTGTCGTAAAACAATGCTGTTTTTAAGTGTTAAAATCGAAAGTGGTTGGACTTCTCTCTCTTGTTAATATGTATGTACTTTCCCCGGATTTTTCCCCCAAGTTATCTAGCAACCGTGTGCAGATAACGTAGTGATTAAAGACCTACTTGGTTGTGTTTATGAAGATGAAAGATTGTATCTTATATGGACTACTCCGAAGTTTATGCAACGAAGGGTAAGAACTACAATTGAGGCTATCCGATTGGTGCTTAAATGTAATCAACTACATGTAACTTGAAAAGGGTCTTTTCTCATTCTCAGCAGCTTGGACGTTCCGCGACTCCCCTCGGAAAGCCTCGATCCGCCTGCAATGACATGGCATGGTGTATCTCAATGTTTAAGCCATTTGTAATGAGAAATTCCCTAACATCTCTACATGGATAGAGAGATGGATATCGTGGGTACAATGTTCAAAACTGTTAGAATCCGTAGACCAAAATATAATTGTAGACATTTTGAGATACGCATCCATGATTTGACCATGCATATTTCTGTGCAACATTTTGCCTTTGACTTCCTATCAGGGGCCTTCGCCCGCGAAGAGATGGCTTGGTATAATATATCTCGTATTATATAGGACTCTTATTCCCGAATATTTTTTACATGAATTGAGAGCTGGATAGTGTGGCTACAATGTCCGAAAAGTTTGAAGTCTGCAGACCAAATGTAACGGGAGAAGCTTTGGCATAGGCTATACGTATCCATATTTTGGTCGAATTTATTGTTGTGCAGCATTTTTCCCGTTGTCAGCAAGCTCGCCTGCGAAGACATGACTTGGTATATATAGTACTCTTGTCATTAAAAATATACACCTCCTTACATGTACCAATAAAATCCATTACTCTGTTGTTTGTGTGAGAAGCTGATGACGCTGAATGTCTTACGCAAAATTCGTTGGGGGAAACGCAACGCATTGTGGGAATTTGTCCCCGGAAAAGGCCGGAGAAAAGTGCTTCAAAGAAATGTCAGCACATGCCCATATATGCAAGATTCAAACTGGAAAATTAAATCCTCGGATAAGTCTGGATGTAAAACATAAAATGCATTGTTTTTATCGCTATGTCAATTTTTGTTATGACGTTGATGTGTTTGTTGATAATATGTGAAATGTTACAGTTTTGATGTTATACGTGCCCGTTTCAGTATTATTTTCTCATCATGTCCACCTTCCTATTTCCTTGATTAAGATTAAACAGTTATTCAGTTTTCCTATCAAAGCTTAATGTTGTCATTAGTTAATAATGAATGAATAGAATGAAGTATACTGTTTTTTTCTTTAGTTGTACCATGAATAGTATCATTGTATTTGATTGAAAGGCGTGTACAGTTATACAAAACACGGTTCTTTTTATCTAGTCTAGGTAGAATTTTAACATTGTTAATGCACATGTATGTATATAGAGTCTTTTTAGAATATTTAAATGTTTAACCTTATGCATAAAAAAATAATGATCTTTTAAGAATATTTCAATGTCTAACATAATTATGTATAAATGGTCCTTTTAAAATGATTTCTGTTAAAATTGTAAATTGTAACCATCGCAATTCAGTCTTTGGACTGCGAGAATGGTAGGAACAATTTTAAAAAAAAATCTTAAATTCAATTCAATTAATTTACGAAAAGTCTGATCCATTGAATAGTACATGTGTCGATGAACCGTATACGACTGGACGACTTTGTTGATACACAATTAAGGGAAGATCAGTGGGCCCATTACGAGCAGACACATCCACACCACGGCACGGAAACTCCCCGAGCGACTGATGCTATCAGAGTACGCAGGCAACATCGGCTGTACCGCATCAGGACTGCGAGTATAAACAAAAATACCGCAACTAAATGATAACAGTTCATATTATAAATTTATTAAAGATGTCTGCTCTCATAAAAAGAAATTGGTGCGTTTCTTCGAGCCAAAGAATGGCTTCAGATATTTTCTGACTACATCAATTCACGCGAATGCGAATATGAAGTGAATTAGATATGTCACATGATTATTAGTAATAAAATGTGTATGCCGCGGGGATACAATTTGTGATTTTTTTTGCAAATATACTTGTCGTGAGATCACAATTTAATACTATTGAGTAATACGTCAATTCTAAGATTTTGGAATCGGATGCAGAATTAAGGCTCCAATTGTTAGTATTCAAAATAAATTTTTCAAATATCGGCATTTTTTTGATCGCATCGTAACTATGAGTAGGCCTACATCACAACTTATAGGTATTGCTAGAAACGTCGGAAACACAGACATAAACACGCACCTATACTCGAGATCCAGATTTCCCTTGATAAACATCTCAACCGGGTAGTGATCGCTGACTTCTGCAGCCTATTAAAATAATAAATGTTCACAGATGAGTATAAGCCTTTACTCTAATCTTCATGCAGAGTGGATAGACCACATAGCGTGGAATTCGCTCTACAATGAAATACTTTGAAATAGAATCACTTCAGACAAAACCCGAGTGAAAAAATCAATAGCTTGAATAAGTTTCACTATAATCTTCGGTCATTGGAAATAAGAGAGAGTAGCCTATGCTTAAGACATTAATATCAAAACTCCAATGGTGTCAAAACAGTTTGGCCTAGTGTGCGGCCAGGCTCCTGTGCAGAATCATAGTTAAGTATGCAAAAGGTATATAAACTTCAACCCTTATTTACCATACACCAACTTCTACATCAAACTGTGCCGCATTACACAATCGAAATCTGTTACACTTATCAAAAATGCATCACCAAAATCAATGCAATTATTCTGGTGATCGGTATCTCACGAGCGAGTTCTTACCATGTTTATGTCCAGATGATATTCTCTATCAAAGTAAAACACACCAGCTCTATTTTGTTGGTAACTGTCAAATAAATCGTCACCGGCAAGGACAATTCTAAAAAGAGTATGAGACAGAGAGAAACGTGTTTTTACTGTTTATGGATTGGTCAACAGCAGGATGACGTAATTTAGTTATCTCCCCCGACAGTGCATTCTCGTTGGTCTGTGGAATTGCACAACAAGGGTATATGATAATGTGAGCAGATTAATACGCAAAACAAGACTGCGTCTTGACCTCGGGATTCTGACCATTCAGCGGGCGCCTTGTATATATTTGGTCTTCCGTAACCCGTTGTTGTTGTTTTATCAAAACATGGCCCCCAACACTGCAAAAACTGTAGTGTTAATTTAACACCATTCGGTATCTATATAGGACAACACCAGTAAAATTTAACACCAGATGGTCCTATATAAATACCAACAGTGTAAATTTAACACTGCAGTTTTGCAGTGAACTTGACCAATCAACAGCTTAGTCCACATTTCTGATCGAAGTGACCTCACAGTTTTTATAGTCCCATTGGCTGGCGCGCAGGGTCGCATAAAATTTGAATGTTAGGCCAACAAAATGTTCGGTCTCTGGTCAGACCAAAGTTCCGGAATTGACGCGGGGACGCGGCTTTTTTTTTTTTGGGCTTTTTTATTTTTCTTCAAGCTTGGATTGTACAGACAAGGTGGGGTACTATTTTGCTATTTGGTGTCCTCATGTACATTGGTGTCCTCCATAATTTGCCTTGGTGCTCTCGATCATTTGCCTTTGTGCAATTTCCCATTCCTTGGTGCTCTTTGGTAAAAAAAAATTGAGGAGGTGCAGCAATAGAGGGCGCTGTTGGAGCTACCGCGGAACATTTTGGAAAAAAAAAAGATTGACGCGCATGATTAAAATCGACGCGCGCGCTGACCAGAGACCGACTTATTATTTTTTTTTGGCCTTACCGTGGCTCATGCACACATGAATATCTGATCCTCAGGCAAGTTCTCGCCGTCTGGAGGTTACCAAAATTACGATTTTTTTTTTAGATATACTAAAATTGTTTTCTTTACGTCACAAGCCATAAATTAACTATATAGAAGCAACGTTATACATTGTGCATAAAAAAATGCAAGCAAAATATAACGGAATGCCAGACGTAGAAATGTGTATTCATTCATTCGTTAGACATAGGCATTTGCCCGTGGTCTCCTCCTCAAATTATACACAGTTGGGATCACTGGCACCACTCCCACCACAGCCCGTCTTTCCAGTGCTGCTGCTTTCAGTTCGTTGGTGTCACACCCAGACCATTCACGGATGTTGTCCACCCAGCGCATCTTTGGCCGGCCCACGGAGCGACGACATCCCACTGGCATCCCATCCACAACAGCTGCCGCCATGCCGCCATGCCGAACCACATGGCCCAACCATGCTGCCTTTCGTTCCATCACAGTGCTACTGCTGAAGCACCACCGGTCGCCGATCATCTCCATCAGTCTTTCATTTGTCACATGATCTTGCCACTTGATGTTGAGCAGGTGACGCCAAATGGTTCGGCCAAAACTGTCTAGGCGTTTGATGTCAGCTGCCTTCAACGACAGGGTGGTGGCACCATACAGTACCCTTGATATGACTAGGGCCCGAGCAAGCTGTACCTTTACCTGAAGGCTGACGCGGGGGGGGGGGGGGGGAGCGCAGATACTTGCACTGCCGAAGAGTGGATCTGCCCAAATGTGTATTCAATATAGATAATGTAGGTATGATTTGAAAGATACGCCTTTCCACTTTAAACTGAGACAGCTAACGTCCAAATCTGATAATTTTTGACAGAGTTATGGGTAATTCTCCAAGAGAGGTCAAAGTGGCCAAGGTTTAAATTTTAGACATGTGACAAAGGTATAGCTAATTGCCTCTGGGTGGATATTTGCTATATAGCCTACAAAAATGTGTTTTGCGAGTAAAACAATTCTAAACACTTTCTCGCTATCACCTCACGCTACAAATGTATAGCGTGTAAACATGTTTACAAACAGATAGCAAGAAAGTGTTTAGAATTGTGTTTACTCGCTAAACACATTTTTTGTAGGCCAGGCATTATTATCCACGCAGAGGCTATTCTCCAATGCCTACAATACGGGCGATTCCCAATAGTGCGCCTCCAAGAGTTTGCAACGCGTTGGCCAATCACAATGCGCGAAATCAGTCGACCTTTTCCAAACGCGCATTGGGTCGACAGATTTTGCGCATTGTGATTGGCCAACGCGTTGTAAACTCTTGGAGGCGCACTATTGGGAATCGCCCGTATTGAAAACTTTGTCCCATGGTAAATTTGACCTCTCTTGGAAAATTACTCATAACTTTGTCAAAAGTTATCAGATTTGGACGTTTGTTGTCTCATTTAAAGTGGATCAAGGCGTATCTTTCAAACCATATATTTATGTTGGTTACACATTCTAGGTCTAGCATTCCGTTGGTGCACACTGTAATGCAAACCAGTGGAATACCATAACAATATTTACACTCATACCGATCATAACTACAATCTGAAGCGGCAACAGTTGTATCTGCGTCATCGGGAATAATCCAACGGAATCGCATGTCCGATCGCAAGAGGGAGTTCTTCAGGGCGGTCTTAGAGACGTATCGACAGTCGGCATTAAAATCACCAGCAATGATGGCATTCTGCATAACAGTGATTACCAAAAAAGAAGAACTTTATTTCGGACCTTTTGTTGTTAAATTAACAATCGTTAAAGTACAGATCTGCGGGTAACACCATGTGGAACGTAATCTCTTCTTGGAAGAAGTGTGGTTCTGAAAAGAACCGGTTGGTAGAGTGGAGAACTTGACGTTTCGGGCAGTGTGCTCGCGTCCTCAGGAGGATGGGTGTTACATAATCAAATGACATTTATCGAGAAATAATAAAAGCCTGGTAAAGCTTGCTGAGCGCGAAAAAAGCTATTTAATTGATTTATAATGATTAAAATTCTGTAGCATGGGCTGTGTAGTGATAACGTTATGATGGAGGTGAAAATACACTTCTGCCGTTCGCATGGAGACTTGACTACATGTACACACAAAATGTATCATCATGGAGTACACGAAACAAGCGGCGCCAGACTAATACACACGCGGTGTATAGATCACCTATAAAGCTGCGGCCAGACAAGTGTAATCACAAGTGACAGACGTTCAGTGAGATATGTAACCAGTCACATTCTAAGTGACAGTCATTTTAGTCAGGTATGGTACAAAAAGGACCGTCAAAAATATTTTGAGAAAAAGCAATGGCTATACGACTGACGAGTATGAATCAGATTTTCAAAAGAAATCATTAAAAAAATCACGTTGTCGACTTTTTTCGGATGAAAATGGTTTCAAGCAAATTGGTCATAGTGTGACGAATGATTAACAAGTCCTGAATAATGGCTGTTGTGTTCCAAACATACCGTATTGCCTGCAGACTTGTTCACGTAGTCATCATAGACATGGACAAGGTGGTCGAGTTCCGCCACCGCTTCCTTGATATCCGGTTTGATATGTACACCGATCATTGCGAAGCGTTCCATGGCTGTAATCGTAAAGAGTGTCCATTATTTGTATTTCATCATTGAATCCTCATCTCCGTCCCTGGGGACGGCAAACTTGTAACAATATACGGGCTTCATACACAGAATATCCTGATCCAAATTGGAATATGGTAACCAATAAAAAACAAACAAACAGACAAACACCCCAAAACACCAAACAAACAAAAAAGCCAAAAATCGAACTTTATATGGGCCTATATAATACAGCGCCACTTTGAGCCGACACTGTGCAGTGCGTCTTTTGCCAAGACGCTACCAGTTCCAGACTGGACCAAATTTGCAACGATGGTAGAGGTCGCTATCGAAAGATCTTGAGAAATTCGGCAGCGGCCAGGAAATTCCTCACGCACATGTTAAGCATGAATACAGCGCACGTGAGTCGTGAGGTATGCTCTGAATTTCCCGTGCAGGCTTTACCGCGCATGTCAATGAACGGTATGAGAAATATCAAATTCAAATAATAGTCTAGGACCAACTAGCCTACAGTTTCGCACATTCAGATAGAAATCGGTGACCTGTTCAGGAATGTGTTTATCCTCGCAACTTTTGCAAACATTATAACAGTTTTTCTTTTCTGGTAAAACAAACAGGGAAACTTTATTGCTTTGCTTGCTTTCAGCGTGATTTGGGGGACCGCGACCCTGATTATTGTTCTTGATCTTACCAGTTGTCGGCGACTCAAAATAAGCAACAAACGGTTCCCGCTCGAATTTATCTTCACTGTCGTCATAGACGTATTTCCGAAGCAAAGTTAGCCGACTCGGCCTGAAAAATGAACATAATTATGTGGAGATTATTCAAGCCTGCGCAATAGTACCTCCCTAAGGGTGCTGGCCATATAATGTCTTAACCGGATCATGATGGACCCGGGGTTGACCTTTTTGGTGCTCTCACTGGACGAACTGTTACCTGGTCAACCGGGTTGACACTTCTGATGTATATTTAGACACATGCGCACAGAATCGTTCAGTAGAGGGTGAGTAAAATAAATAACGAAAACCAATTGTCGGAACGATTTTGTTAGTGAAGTTCTGTTACGCAGCACTTTCAAAATCTAGACTATGACGAAGCCGAATACGGTAAGTTTTCTTTTAGTACAAGAATCATTCGAATCACTCATGTACTTTTCAAGTCACGGAATTGTAAGAAATTTGAAACATTTCACATACAAAGATCATATTGTTGAGTTGTTTTCGTTGGGTTTTTTGGGGGGGGGGTGATCCGTGGACAGAACTTCAAAACGGTGTTAATTGTGTTTAACATTTGAAAAGTACATGAATGATTTGAACGATTCTTGTACTAAAAGAAAGCTTATGAATTGTGCTTTCATCTATTTTGAAAGTGCTACATGCAGAATTTCACTGAAAAAAATGGTCCTGGCATTTGGGTTTCGCTGTAAAAGGATGACCAACAATATTAACAGGCTTCACAAAGTATCACTAAAACACTGGCAGACATGATTACGATGCCAACAAATGGAATGGTCATAATATCAAAAGGCAAATAAAAAAATCTTAGAATCTTACTTGTAAAAGTATGCATACTGCTCTTTGTTCCGTGTACGTCCGAGTCTACTGCTCAAGGCCATCTCATATTTGTCCTCGACCTCCCTGATGAGAAGTTGGGGAAATATAAGTTTAATGTTTTCAGGTTTCCACAACTTTGGGCCAAAAAATCTCTGGTTTCTGGTATGCGCGCGCGTCGCCGTAGCAATGCGCGTCGGCAAAATGAAAAAGGGTTGTTTTTTTTTTCAATGAAAGATGATGCCTCAAAACTGCCAAACTCACTGGTTTGACTGGAATCCTGCTGCTGCACAATTTTAACGTGTTTTTAGATGGGGTTACGATCGAGAATAAGCTTCATGTGGCCTCTCTGGACTCCCATATATTTGCACTAAGTTTAGTCGGGCACCATTTGCAGTCATCAGCCGACATTTGCAGAAAAAAAACCTGTAAAAAAAAAGCCGCGTCGCCGCACCACTTTTTGGGCAAGCTCCATACCAGAAACCTGAGACTTTTTTTGGCCTTATACCCCTAAGTTCACTCTTTTAATTACGCAGTCATACACTGAGGAAACTTCTTCAACAGAACACTGGCTAAAAGTCGTCTTAATCTTATGAGCAATGATAAATATACTTCACTTTTTTTAATACAGTACACTGTTCTGAACTATTTCGACTTTTACATATACAATAACCTTTTGTAAAAGGCACCAAAATCTTGAAATACTAAAAACGGCACTTTTCTCCATTACACTGTAACATTAATGTGTATATAGCAAAGAGCATTTTGTTACACTTACGAGTTCAGAGTGTCAAGCAGTGTGCGAATTGCCGTACCAAACCTATCACGGATTTCTTGAATCAACACAAGGTCATATCGCTTCAAAATCTGCGAAAAAAATACGTAAAATGACATGTATCCATTTTAACAGGTCATCCAGCATATAGCGATTAATGCATTTCACCAAAATATCTATGGTAATAAATATCCTTTACTATACATTGTATATTTAAATGGAAAGAAATTAAATTAATGCTGTAAACATATTAAAGAATTAACGAACACACAAATAAGTTCTAGGCGTCACGAAGTGTGCGACACTTTACTAACCTTAACTAACGTCTGCAATACGTGAACTTTACCAACTTTACTGTTTCCGAATACTCGGATGTTGAAGGCACCAATTAACAGCGAGCCATCGTATGAAGAACCAGGGGCATCCGTCCCTTGGGACGTAGAGGCCGTTGTCAAGGCTGTCAATACCAGAAGACAACATATTGCTGCGAGTTTCATCATTGTCGATTTAGACCGTGCTGCTTTGTAGGCTTAAATGTATCTTTATGTAGAAAGGGTAGAATGTAGAAAGGGTAAAACGAATTTCATTAACTAATAATAACAATAATCGGGATAAACAGGACAGATGTGAAATGTTGAAATGCCGACTCAATTCAAACCATCAGAACAAACAGGTATCCGTCCAGGCGGCGGAAAAACTAGGTAACTGGTGCGCTTACATGGACGACTTTTCATCATTATAGCTGTAGTGAATAATTTTTAATGGCAATCTTGTAATGACTTGAACCCGGAAGCAGCACCCTACAGATCAAATTCCATTGAAATACAAACAAACCGGGTCACATGAACATGTACGTCTTTGTTGTTGCGCATGACAGCTAGGCGTAGGCCCATAGACCACGGTAATTACCTGTGGCGTCAAACCAACGAGCAATTACCGACATGCAACCCAAACATATTAAATATTTTTTTTACGTTATTTTGTCCACACTAAACAGTTTCTCAAATTAAATTCTCAACACCACATGTACATCAATCACATTTCAAGTGATACACATTCGGCGCAGTGGAGAACACTGAGTTCGCTGAAAGTTATTGGTATATCACGTGACCACATCATCCAATTTGTAAACAAATTATAACTTTGTCTATAGCCTACGCATTATTTTGAGGGTTTGTTTTGATCGTCTAACGCCGGCCATCAACGATCAATATGTACCGGATGATTTATGACTCAAAATGAGACCAAAATATCGCCGGATGACCCACAACAGCTGCGCTCGTGATCGTACAAACCATTATAGACTTATTTAGTCGAAATTGCGTTCTGAAGGGTCATGGTGATTTTCCAATGGAAACAAAAAAGGCTTTGGGAAAGCAAATGGGGAAAATATCCGTTCCTTTTTCTCTTCTCACTTCAGCTTTTGGCCTTAATACAACTGAATTAAGTTAGCCAAAAGATTAAAAGCGATAGGCCTATAGTACTGTATATACATACCTTGCGCGTCTCCGGCACTACCGGCCCGGTGAACGGCCCTAGTGAACACAAATCGCGGACCACCTATAGTGTCTGATGAGCTGAGGGCTGCGCCACTGCATGTAGTCGATAAACCGAAGTTCAAGTTCGAAGTACGTGGTGTGGGCCTATTATTATGTCACTCCATAGAAACCGCTGCAATGCTACATGTGATAGGGAAATACATGAACAATGATGTGAGACCCCAAAGACTCAAGGAGAATGGAACAGAACCTAACAAACACCGTGCGATTTCACAGTTTGATCACGATTGGCAATGGACAAATGTTACTAGTATGACGCCCGATTGGTCCACGATTGGCCACACGTGAATGCATTTACTTTTAGGCCTATAAAGAAAGACCAGCTTCAGGTGTGTTCAAAATGGTTATACATTGTACATGACTGACAAGCAAAGAAAGGAAAGGAAACCGAAAACGGAAAAACGATATTTCCCCATAGCGATTGCTATCACGCGGTATACCAATGTTGCCTATAATACCAACCGGACAAGCATAGCCCGTGATTATGTTGTCTGATCAGATACTGGACTTCCTCCATACGGATGCAACCCTGCAAATAATTTTCCATAGACACTAGTGCTAAATGCCCATAATTCAAAATTCTTTTAAAAATATACTCAGAACTCTCACAGGTATTCAAGCTGCACAGAATAATGGATGATCAACATGTCATCTTTCGTTTTCTTTTCATTTTTGGTGGGTTGACCATTGACTTTCTAGACATTCTCACCCAAAGAAGACGACCCCTATTTTCCCCAAAGCGGAAAAGTAGCCATCTTGAAAAACGATCCCTCCACAACATGGCAATATAGCGCCACTTTCGAGCCCAATAGCATCCCAAACGCTCAGAATTTGGAAGCCCCAAGTCCGGGCCAGAGGTTCATTACCATATATCTCTTCAATTCCCCCAATTTTACGGCGCTCAGAACTCTCTAATATATAATAGAATATTTTGAGGGTATAACTTTTATTCACGAACTCGGCGGATGGATTTTGGCCTATTTACCGGTGTGCATGCACCCATACGCGAGCCGCGGCTTACCCTGTTAATATCGTGCGCCATTTCGAGTAAACTTCCCCAAAGAGACTCGCGCCGATAGAGGGCGCAATTCTCGGCGGAATGTTTTTGAGAACGAAGCATCCATACCCGTTTTAAATGGGCGCGCAAATTAGGAAGGGAGGAGGGCGACGGGGCACTGTCTGGAGTGGCGGAGTCTTGGAGTCGCAGAATCGCTTTAAATGGGCGTGCAAATTAGGAAGGGAGGAGGGCGACGGGGCACTGTCTGGAGTGGCGGAGGCGCGGAGTCTTGGAGTCGCAGAATCGCTTTAAATGGGCACGCAAATTAGGAAGGGAGGAGGGCGACGGGGCACTGTCTGGAGTGGCGGAGGCGCGGAGTCGCGGAGTTGCAGAGACGCGCACCGATAGAGGGCGCAATTCTCTGCGGCTCCACGACTCCACGATCGATTTTCGGAGGTAGGTCGACTGCGGTTCCACGCCTCCACGCAGCCGTACGCGTATTTTTTTTTCCTAGGAGGGTTGGGGGCAATGTCATGAATAATTCAGTTTTTCCTTTAAATAATTGCAAGACTTAGGTTCTCGTTCTATTTTCCCCTTAATTTAAAATTATCTCAGTGATAAATTTGGAGAAGAAAAATAGCTGATGAAAATGAGCAGCGACGACGTGGATTCGAACCAGGAATCTTTGTATTAATAAGCTCATCTCGCTATCCACTAGGCTACTGTGTGGTAGCTCGACGACAACCGTTCTTTAAAATGCTTTAATGTATTGTAACTAGTTGAGTAACTAACAACAATGCTGTTGATGTCATTGTCAGTTCTCATGGATAAACATGAATTATTCATGACAATGCCCCTAACCCTCCTAGGAATAAAAATTACGCCAGCCGTACGGAGGCGCGGATGTAGAGTAAAGTGGCCCTGCATTCTATAGTTGTACCGTCATGCGAATATGCTGGATGTGGCGTCTTACTGCGAAGATAACTATCTAAAGGCAAGTATTTTGCAACTGGTTGACATCCCGGAGCACATCCCGTTTGTTTCCCGATTGATGAAACACAATGCGGTGCTTGTGTCGTGTGTGTGATTCACTGCACTGGCTGATTTGATTAGGCTACGTGTAATGTGTACGTGTACATATACGGAAGTCCGCAATCGCAGTGCATGCTGGGTATGGATGACAAACAAGGCCAACTTCTTAAAATTCTAACATGTCTAATGACCTTTTTTTTTGAAAAGTTGAACAATATCTTTTGGCAGAAAATGTGGTCCTAGCAAATTTCCTGGGCCTATTTAATTATTGATAGTGGATATTTTGCCGGAGGTAATGACGGCAAACTAACGATTACTAAAGGTTTGCCGGTGGCAATCCATTTCAACAGAGGGCGCTGTACTCTTTAAAATAGGGCTGAATTATAAGATGTATTAAATTCCCACCAAAAGTTGTGTAGCACGTTTGGTGTAGTGGTTAAGCAAAGGCTCTAGTAGGCGGGATGACTCGCGTTCGATTCCAACAGCACCACATTTTAAAGTTTTTTTTTCTCATCCCCAAATAAATAAGAATATTCTTCTTTTATTATTTTAACATGTCTCAAACATTTTTTGCAGAGTATTACATTTTCTTTTTCAGATTTGTGGCTCTGGAGGATTTTTTTTTAAAGGGAAATAAAGTCTGAAATTATAAAATGGTCTGAATCTCATCTTGTGAATACGAGGTAACAACGATAATTTTGGCATGGAGCCAGACTAAAACTTGTCACGGGAAAATGTTTAAGTACAAAAAAACAGTAACTGCGCATGTTCAGTGCACATCCGGCAAACTAACGTTTACTAAAGGTTTGCCGTCTCCGGCAAAATATACACTGCCTTAATTATTTTAATTTTACACAGTTGATGCCAAGACGAATCAAGACAGTTTTGCACACCATCTATAGATATATTCCTGCTGCGTTTGGTCATTTTCTATCAAAGCTTAATGTTGTCATTAGTTAATAATGAATGAATAGAATGAAGTATACTGTTTTTTTCTTTAGTTGTACCATGAATAGTATCATTGTATTTGATTGAAAGGCGTGTATATACAGTTATACAAAACACAGTTCTTTTTATCTAGTCTAGGTAGAATTTTAACATTTTTAATGCACATGTATGTATAAAGAGTCTTTTTAGAATATTTCAATGTTTAACATTATGCATAAAAAAAATAATGGTCTTTTAAGAATATTCCAATGTCTAACATATGTATAAATGGTCCTTTTAAAATTATTTCTGTTAAATTGTAAATTGTAAACCATCGCAATTCAGTCTTTGGACTGCGAGAATGGTAGGAACAATTTAAAAAAAAAAACACCTTCAATTCAATTCAATTAATTTACGAAAAGTCTGATCCATTGAATAGTACATGTGTCGATGAACCGTATACGACTGGACGACTTTGTTGATACACAATTAAGGGAACATCAGTGGGCCCATTACGAGCAGACACATCCACACCACGGCACGGAAACTCCCCGAGCGACTGATGCTGTCAGAGTACGCAGTCAACATCGGCTGTATCGCATCAGGACTGCGAGTATAAACAAAAATACCACAACCAAATGATAACAGTTCATATTATAAATTTATTAAAGATGTCTGCTCTCCTAAAAAGACATTGGTACGTTTCTTCGTGTCAAAGAGTGGCTTCACATATTTTCTGATTACATCAATTCATGCGAATGCGATGAATTAGATATGTCACATGATTATTACTAATAAAATGTGTATGCCGGGGGGGGGGGTACAAATTGTGATATTTTTGCGATTATGTCGTGAGATCACAAATTAATACTTATCGGTAATACGTCAATTCTAAGATTTTGGAATCGGATGCAGAATTAAGGCTCCAATTGTTAGTATTTCAAAATAATTTTTTCGGATATCGGCATTTTTTTCTCGCATCGTATGAGTAGCCTAGGCCTACATCACAACCTATAGGTATTGCTAGAAAATTTGCAATTTCCCAAAATTCATAAAAAGCTCGGGCAGTATAAATACAACTCTATGCTGGATAAAAATCTACGTCGGAAACACAGACATAAAAACGCACCTATACTCGAGATCCAGATTTCCCTTGATAAACATCTCAACCGGGTAGTGATCGCTGACTTCTGCAGCCTGTTAAAATAATAAATGTTCACAGATGAATATAAGCCTTTACTCTAATCTTCATGCAGAGTGGATAGACCACATAGCGTGGAAATCGCTCTACAATGAAATACTTTGAAATAGAATCACTTCAGACAAAACCCGAGTGAAAAAAATCAATATCTTGAATAAGTTTCACTATAATCTTCGGTCATTGGAAATAAGAGAGAGTAGCCTATGCTTAAGACATTAATATCAAAACTCCAATGTTGTCAAAACAGTTTGGCCTAGTGTGCGGCCAGGCTCCTGTGCAGAATCATAGTTAAGTATGCAAAAGGTACATAAACTTCAACCCTTATTTACCATACACCAAATTCTACATCAAACTGTGCCGCATTACACAATCGAAATCTGATACACTTATCAAAAATGCATCACCAAAATCAATGCCATTTTTCTGGTGATCCGTATCTCACGAGCGAGTTCTTACCATGTTTATGTCCAGATGATATTCTCTATCAAAGTAAAACGCACCAGTTCTATTTTGTTGGTAACTGTCAAATAAATCGTCACCGGCAAGGACAATTCTAAAAAGAGAATGAGACAGAGAGAAAAGTTTTTTTTACTGTTTATGGATTGGTCAACAGCAGGATGACGTAATTTAGTTATCTCCCCCGACAGTGCATTCTCGTTGGTCTGTGGAATTGCACAACAAGGGTATATGATAATGTGAGCAGATTAATACGCAAAACAAGACTGCGTCTTGACCTCGGGATTCTGACCATTCAGCGGGCGCCTTGTATATATTTGGTCTTCCGTAACCCGTTGTTGTTGTTTTATCAAAACATGGCCCCCAACACTGTAAAAACTGTAGTGTTAATTTAACACCATTCGGTATCTATATAGGACAACACCAGTAAACTTTAACACCAGATGGTCCTATATAAAATACCAACAGTGTAAATTTAACACTGCAGTTTTGCAGTGAACTTGACCAATCAACAGCTTAGTCCACATTTCTGATCGAAGTGACCTCACAGTTTTTAGAGTCCCATTGGCTGGCGCGCGGGATCGCATAAAATTTGCATGTTACCGTGGCTCATGCACACATGAATGTCTGATCCTCGGGCAAGTTCTCGCCGTCTGGAGGTTACCAAAATTACGATGTTTTTTTTTTTAGATATACTAAAATTGTATTCTTTACGTCACAAGCCATAAATTAACTATATATATAGCAACGTTATACATTGTGCCTAAAAAAA